AAAGGAGGTCAGAATAGCATGGGCTTAATGGTGTTGCTTACCTGCTTCCTTACCAGGTGGCAGAGGACTGATTTTGGGAGTATTTTTCCTAACACGGATGCACTGCAAGACACCCGGACAAATGTGCATAATCTCCTGTACCCTCTACATTCAATCCAGCAAACCAGAGTTTTACAGTAGAATACATGAATATGGTTCATTACATTTCTGACTAAGTAAAAATAACAGATCTGTGAGACATGGATTTTAAACAGTTAGGATGCTTGCCAAGTACACAAGTTGTTACATTTCACATTTGGGGGTTGCAGAGTAATCAGGTAATTCCTACTTCACTCATGGGAGACAACCAATCAAAGTGATTCTACTGAACATTCAGTGACCATTTCCTAATTGATAGCGCATTTTTTTCTTTAGGTGCATTTTTTTTTTTTTGTGAATGTACAGTTTTTATGGATTTTTCATAAGTAATGGTAATATAATGTAGCAATGTAGATTGAAAAAATACTCAAGTTTAACATTCAAAAGAAAGAAAAACAAAACCGTTTTAACTTAGTAGTTAAAGCATAACTTTGAGTCCAAAATTGAAAACACTCAAGAAGGATCATAACAACTATAAAAACAGCTAGAATTGATCAGTTTAGCTACTATAAATATAGAGCTACTTTAAATATAAAGTACTCAAATGTTGCCAAGAGCAAAAAAAAAAAAAAGAGTCATCAGCTTGTTGCTGAATAAAAAATAGCTAATTAGCTTAAGTAAATACCTAACATAGAAGAGATATTGTACAGTAGTCATGACAAGTACTTGTCATTTGGGTAAATATGAACAATCAAGATGTAATATATGAAAACATCTTAAAAACTGCAACTAAAAATAATGTATAATTCACAAAACCCTGACTTTGAGGGCACCTAAGCTAACAAGTTGAGGAGTATTAGATTTATACTGTGAAAAATCAAGCTAGCCGTGTGACCCCCTTGAAGATCCACCTAACTGGTGAAACATGCGCCAGGGCGCTGTGCTTTTCTTACCTCGTTAGTCTATAGTATGTACATTAGACCAGTGTTCCCCAACCCAGTCCTCAGAGACCACCAACAGTCCAGGATTTATGTATTTCCCTGTTTTATTCCAATGAGATACTGACAAAACCTGGACTGTAGGTGGTCCATGAGGACTGGGTTGGGAACACTGCATTAGACTGTCAATGATGGTCAAGTTAAGGATTTGTTAGTGATCTAAATGGGTAGCTTAATTTTATAGTAGCTAAACTGATCTCTTCTAGCTTCTATATTTTTGTTTTATATTTGTTCTAATTCCTCTTGAGTGTAAATTAAGTTATGTTTTAACTACTGGGTTATCAGTTTTGTAAAAAACAAAACTGTTTTCCAATTACAATTATCCCTATTAGGGGTTACCCTAATTGGGCAAAAATCAGGCAAATTACAGCTACGCCCGGACTGGCCTTGGCACATAGCCGCGAAGGCCACTGGCAAAGGCCGATAGGGGAGATCAGAGGATCTTCCCTGAGTCCAATGCAGGGCCAGCACTATCCAGGCGCCGGCCCTGTTATGTGCCATCACTGGCACTTACATTTGGCAGAATGGAGGGCGTGGGGGCTGAAGGTTGAAGCTCGGCCGGGAATGTACTTTTCTCAAACTCTGAACATTGCTACGGTTACCATGTGCCGAATCTCATGAGAGTGATCTCGAGACATAGAAGCTGCAGGTTACAGCTCACTCAGAACCACCACAGTTTACAATTTCCCCCCCACCTGCCCAAAAGTAAGAAGGGAGCGGGGAATGAAAAGTTTTAATAAAATAATAAAACAATATATATATTTGCTTGCACCCATCTGCGCCCAAAAAAAAATGCATTGCACACCTCACACACTCTGCACCAGTACACACTAGAATCCCTACATTCTATATCCCCTGTAGATACTACATCTTTTATACACACTATATGGCAAACACACACTACATCCCTTATACAAACTCTGGTTTCCCTACACACAAACACACTAGATCCCCTACACACACTACATTCCTGACATACACACTCTGGATCCTATGCACACACAAGACCACCTGTACGCAAACACACAGTATATTCCTTACACACAGACTGATTGCAGCCTCCACACACGCTACAGCCCTAGGCATACAATCGGTGCATTCCCTATACACACTATGCCCCCTATACACAAAGCCAATCACTCTCTAAAGACCCATTCCACACAAATACAACATGACTGAAACCGGCTTTGTGCCGGAGCTTCAATACCATAACTGGGTATCTCTGCTTTTTCTTCCTTGGAACTAGAGAAGTAATTATAACTCTTCTCCAGTAACTAGAGTACACATAGTTCTGAGAGTATATCTGTTATTGTGCTGAATGGAGCCTTTTATGCACAGGGGGCTCTATTCAATACATACAGTGCCTGTCCAGACACCTCTGTGTTTGGGATATAATTAAGTTGCTGCTCGCTAAACTGATTATCTCCCAGATACAGAGTGCCTAACACAAAAACATAATAAAAACACACAGGAACCCCACATATTTTACATCCCCAGATAGCTCTGATACGAGTTGGCAAACAGCGCCCAGATCCATGAAAACATGACAAAATTGCTACAAAACCGCACACGTGGTCTATGCCCAAAAGAGTTTTAGCGCAAATAGTTCTTTGGACAGTCAAATACCGGAAGCTCCTGCGCAAAACAAAAGGGGGCTTTCCAGGAAGCAATCAGTCTTTTCTGTCCATAGTACCTCTCCTCCAAACAGCGCTCTCCTGGCAGGCCAGGAAGTATGGTGGAACATATGGGTAAAGTTGAGTGGGCGTTGGGTAAGGATGCGGCCAAGCCGGAGTTTCGCATACTTTGGTACTCATTATGAACCTCGAAGTTCATAATTTTGCATTTTTCTATCTAAAATGGAATCTGCCATTTGAGTGCCCAGTCTCCCAATCTAAAGCTCTCTGCAGCAAACAATATTCTGCTCACATTGTATTACTCTACATAGTTTAGTGTCATCTGCAAACACTAAAACATGGCTTTCAATGCCCCTTTCAAGATCATTTATAAACATGTTAAATAGAAGTGGTCCCAGAACTGAACCCTGAGGGACACCTCTTACCACTTTTGTCCATATTGAGAATTTACCATTAATGACAACCCTCTGTACTATATCTTTAAGCCAGTGTTCTACACAAGAACAAGAATTTTAATCTAGGTCAATTTCTTTTAGTTTGAACATGAAGCTATTGTGAGGAACCATATCAAACGTGTTGGCAAATACACCACTGCAACACTGATCTATACTTCTACTTACTTCTTCATAAAATTAGGTTAGTTTGACATGATCTATGTTTCATAAAGCCATGCTGATTATTGCTAAAAGCAATGTTCTTCCCAATCATTTCCTATTATCCCTTAATAACCCTTCAAATCTTTTCCCAGCTACAGAAGTTAAAGGACAACTATAGTCTGGGTGTCAGGTCCATCAAGGGTTAACCCTGCAGCTTTAAACATAGCAGCAGTTTCAGAGAAACTGCTATGTTTACATTAGGGTTAATCCAGCCTCTAGTGGCGGTCTCACTGACAGCCGCTAGAGGCGCTTCTCACTGTGAAAAATCACAGTGAGAAGACGCTGACATCCATAGGAAAGCATTGAGGCACCAAGAACCATACAAACAAGGAACAATGGAAGATCCAGCAAAATCCTAGGTCTTTTTGTGGATCCTTTGTGAGATACCAGACATATATATTGCACTGTGTGAGAAGCTGATTAGGGCTCTGACGTTTTTATTGGCATGTACATAAGACAAAGCCCCTACTTACACCCAGAGAAGGATTAAAACCCCATGGGCCCTAGGCATGTTAAGAATCTCCCCATCCCCCCTTATTCTTCAGATAGGGATGGTTATTGAGGACAAACAAATGAATTTTTCCAGGTCCCCTGTCTAATCACTGGGACCAAGGCTGCCCCCTCTTTTCCTTAGGCTTAATCCAGCTCTGCTTATATATTTTGTGTGCCTGAATTTAAATCAGCAATGCAATACATGATGATCTTTTTGAAAATAATCATAAGTGGCAGTGTCACAATAACATATTGGTGAGCCAGTTGGATTTTGGGGCAATGCTTGCCATGTGGATGTGTACCAATTAATGTAGCAAATTTGGAGATCTTCTAGCAGTGATTATTGGGCAGTCTATTAACTGAGGTTTAAGTATGGAGTTATGCTGCAGTATAGGCCAATTTAGAGTTAGTTAGTTGCATTATCTAGTTATGATCTTAACCATCTCTATGATCTGCAGCTCAAGGAAATCTAACAGTTTATGGTTACATTTAGAGAATTCACTGCTGGTCATTTCCCCTTCTAAATTATAATAAGTATTTTCTTAGTAAATGTACTTATAATATAGAGCAATATCCTTTGTGTTTATTTCACCCTCCCTTGTATTCCCGTGTTTATAGGTTATTTTACCTTTTTAATACTTATTAAATGTTATATTTTATGTGCCAACTTTATTATGTGAGTGATTTCATTAGGATACATTATGGTCCTGTGTTTTTTTGTTAAATAATTTTCTGTAAGGGTTATATCTTCCAATCTGTCCTAAGATATTTCCTAAGCGTACATGTGAGAAGCTCCCTACAGCCTTCTCTTTTTTTGTAACTATATCAGTATCAACTGTTACTGTTCAAAAATGTTGTATGATTGTGGCAGCGTGCGTTTTACCTAAAAAACATAGTATAATCTTAGATTCCACATTCTTCAAGACCTCAGTGTTGTAGTACATCTTTTATACATGTGGTAGACTTTTCAACACAAAATTGATTTTATCTTAATTAAATATACTAAATCCTGCATCACTTTGCCATCACTGACGTAGAGGGGATGGCCCTTTCCAAAAACAGAAAAAAACAAATCAATATGAAATAAAACTCTGAATCACTTCATGAGTGGACTATAAAATCATTTATACTTTTTTTTTACAGAACAAATCAACTATTAAAAACAAACAAAAAGTGACAACAGAAAACAATACATTCCAAGTGATATGCATTTCCCTTCATTCCCAAACAAAGTAATCTGACCTACATCAGAACTGTTCTATAAAACGGAGCACGTTCTTTTCAGGAATATTTTCTTTTTATGTGAAGTTAGGATGAGGAATTGATTTAGGTACTTTGTGGAGTACACAAACTTGGCTATTCACAGGACAAGTAGAAATGCTGTTCAAAAAGAGGATGTCACAAGTATTAAGTGATGTCAAAAGAAAGGTGTAGGGCAAATATTTCATCCACAACCAGAAGGGGTGTCCAAGGCTTTGATGACATCACAGGCTCTAAGGTGATTTGATAAAACACAGTTATTGTCGGAACCAATTCACAGAGAAGTTTCAGCTGAAGTCCAACTCACCTTTATAAAGTTACTTAATGCAACATGGCTTTTGGCATCCATTTGTATTAGGCGTAAACCTTGTTTCTCTAACAATATGTACGACATTATGTCACTAGTGCAATTACAGGAGGTGGAGGAATTGATGTAAGAACCAAAGAATTAGGAGGTGGAACTAAATAGAAATCGCCACATAGGCCCATTCTGGGCTCATTTATGTCCTCTGTTGGCCTGAATTTTTTATTTTTTTTATTTCATGTCACAGTGTATATACATCTTACTCCAGTGCAAACACCTCCAAGAATGTCTTAAATCTCCAGACGTACAAATAATTAAAATATTAACATAAAAAGCCAACATACATTTCTTTCCTTATCCGATCTAATTCATCCTTCCACGGAAATAAAAGACATCATGTTGGCTACACAGTACAGCGGTCCTCCCTGAGAGTATCATGATCCTGCCTTGTTGATGATCTGAAGCCAGTACCTGGACAGTAAATAGACTTCCCATAGGTAGTGAAAATACTGCACTTTATGAAAGCCTGAGATCTTTGTAATCAAGGCAGTATATTTCCAGTGGAGAGGACAGCAATTACATCAAGGCATGTCCTTCTACCCAGCTCCCTTGCATTCCTTGTGGGCAACAAGCTTGCCAAATTACACTCAGCATTCATCCTCTTGAAACAACTGCTCGTCCAATTCCTGGGATTCAAGATGTTCAAGACGATCTGTCCGTCCACTCATAATCTCCTCTGGGGTCTTCATGAATCTGGGCAAGGGAGAAAGATAAAAGTAAGTTTATTGTTTAAAATAAATATAAACAGCGAAACATTTTTTTAGTATTAGGAGGGAGATTTATCGAGCAGAAGAGTTGCTATTCTGGTACAAAGTATTAGCTGCCAAAAGGGATTCTGCTTGTTTCAGTGCTAACTGGCACTTGTTTAGCACTCTCACAGAAGATAAAAATTTTACCATGAGCAAACTCCATATGCCTTATTATTTATATAGAGCCACCATATCCCATAGTTCTTAAAATAAATGATAAACTAATATGAATATAGAAAATGAAAAGGGTCTGTTCAAATGATCTTTTGGTAATAGTCAAACATTTAAAAGTGATTCTTTTTTCTTTCATTCCCATTCCACAGCTACCATGTTATTATTATTAGAGACAAAAGTATTGTTTAAAGGAACACAATACGGCCAGGAACACAAACTTGTATTTCTGACCCTATAGTGTTAAAAAACACAAAAGCCCCTCGCAGTAATTTTTGACTCCAAAATGGCAATAACATTTCTCTTTGGTTCAACAAAGAGTAGTTACAAATCTGCAAACATACATGTGTGTATATATATATATATATATATATATATATATATATATATATATATATATATATATATATATATATATATGCACAAACACATGCAGAATTATTTACTTAAGTGTGAAATGTCTGGAATTCTAAATATATTTCAAACCTTAGTCCAAAATAATTGAATGTGAAAAAGGGCTGCTATGTTTTCATTATTTGGCCTGCAACTTGTACTATGAATTTGCTTTGTATTCCTGCCAAATTCACACTTTATGGATGTATTCACTGAATTGAAAACTGAATAGCAGAATTAATTAAAAAAGTGATGATTTAGAAAAAATATCCTGCTTAGTTATAGCTACATCACTCCTACTTTAGCCTCAATTCGACAATTCAGTTTTCATTTCACCATGTTTAGTGAATAAACCTAACAGCAAAAAATGCTGACATTTTTATAGCATGTATTTTGCACAATATACACAGCAGAATATTTAGTTTATTTATTATTAAGGTAAAGTTGCAGGTGAATGAGAAGGGATATTCTGTTACCTGAAGAGCAGCCTTTGCCCAGGTTCCTTGCGGATTATGTTCAGTTTGTAGTAATGGCGAAGTGCCCTGGACATCTTCTCATATGTCATGTTGGTTCTGTTCTGTTTATTTAGAAGAGAAAACAAGAGATAAGATAAAACGGAGGAAATCAGTTTTTACAGTTTTTTTTTTACAAATGTCAAAAACACAAAGTAAGAATTAGTAGGCAGGAGAGGAACAGAAAGGTGTTTGATTTAAACTCCTCCTCTTATTTAAATGGCAGTGTAATTAGTTCAGTGTAATAGTTGTGCATTTGTTTCACGCTCCACATTTTGGAGGTTTGGATGTTGTCTAAGCTGTAGACCGTTCTCTTTATTGCAGCAGGAGATTGTATTTTTGAAGTCTGAGATTTTTAAATTATCTGTTAAACTCAGGCTGGGACTGTTGCAAATCCACTGCTGCAGAGATGTCCTAGGAATGGCAGATGGATTACTGTAGGATCGGGTAGACAGAGATGTGGACAAAAGGCATACTGCACAGTCTGTGTCTTTACATAATTCATTTTCTGCTCTTTCAGATTGTAGTGATGTTACTGAGACATGGTCAGGCACAGAGTCTGTGGAACCACCATCCTATATGCCTAAGGTGAGCAAGAGTGCAGCCAGTGACAAAAAGGACAAGGTGACAGAAAGCAGTTGTTTGGGGATTCTATCTTAACCCCTTAAGACCGCAGCCAAATGTACAAGTTGTGATCAAAACAAAACGTAAACAAAACCTGGCATTTGCGCTATATGTCTGTCCAACCGTAATTCACCCACACTTATTATATATAATTTTATTCAGGGGAAACGGGGCTTTCGTTTAACATCAAATATTTAGGTATGGAACATAATTTAATATAAAAAAATGGGAGAAAATAAGAATTAAAAAAAAAAAAATTGTTCTACGTGACATTTTAACTGTGAATGTCAAAAAACTGTTTGTTTTTACTGCAGTAACATACACATATTTGTATTCAGAGATGTCTCACGTGTAAAAAGGTGTCCAAGGCTTTGATGACATCACAGGCTCTAAGGTACAGGTCTTATGATGTTTTGGGAAGTTACAGGGTCAAATATAGTTCAGTTTTTTCACATTGAAATTCGCCAGATTGGTTACGTTGCCTTTGAGACCATATGGTAGCCCAGGAATAAGAATTACCCCCATGATGGCATACCATTTGCAAAAGTAGACAACCCAAGGTATTGCAAATGTAGTATGTCCAGTCTTTTTTAGTAGCCACTTGGTCACAAACACTGGCCAAAGTTAGTGTTAATATTTGAAAATGCAAATTTTGGCCAGTGTTTGTGATTAAGTGGCTACTACAAAAGACTGAACATACCCCATTTGCAATACCCTGGGGGTTGTCAACTATTGCAAACGGTATGCCATCATGGGGGTAATTTTCATTCCTGGGCTACCGTACGGTCTCAAAGGCAACCTGGCGAATTTTAATGTGAAAAAACTGAAACGTAAGCCTTATATTTGACTCTGTAACTTTTGAAAAAACCATAAAACCTGTACATGAGGGGTACTGTTATACTCGGGAGACTTCGTTGAACACAAATATTAGTGTTTTAAAACAGTAAAACGTATCACAACAATTATATCGTCAGTGTAAGTGCCATTAGTGTGTGAAAAATGCAAAAAATTTCACTGTCACTGACGATATCGTCGTTGTAATACATTTTACTGTTTTGAAACACTAATATTTGTGTTCAGCGAAGTCTTCTGAGTAAAACAGTACCCCCCATGTACAGGTTTTATGGTGTCTTGGAAAGTTACAGGGTTAAATATAGTGCTAGAAAATTAAATTCCCTGAACTTTTGGCCTGGGTTGTCAGGCAGGTCCTGCAAATTGTAATTAATAAAATGACCTAATTATGTAAAATTATTACATAAATATATACGTAGAATTATTATATATATATATATGTGTGTGTATATATATATATATATATATATATATATATATATAAAAATAAAATAGTTCCTGCACTCACGCTAATACATCCTTAAGTGACCGGGTGCCAGCCCCATATAGCTAGTGTATCCAGAAAAACCAAGTAGATGGCTGCACTCACGGTTCTGTGTAAAAGTCCAAAGTTTATTGAAGATGCATAAAATAACTTGCGATCAATGTTTCAGTCCTTCTAAGAGAACTCTTAATACATGGTTCTTTTGAAGTTAATGAACCAGGAGGGTGGTCGGTGTTCGGTAGTTTTAAACTACCGAACTAATAGATCCAACATGAACAAAATACTGCAGAAAAGCCCGAACATAGTAGAAAATACCGAACTCAGTCTATTTTCTTCACACCTATCGTGTTGCTTTAATGGAGTTCATCCCACCTTTGCTATTATAACTTCTTCCACACTTTTCAGAAGGCATTTTACTACATTAGAGTGAGGATTTGAATCCATTCAGTCATAACATCATTTTGTGAGATTAGGACTGGCTGGCTTGCATTTGGCTATTTCTTTCTAGAATCCTGTTTTGTGCACAGGGGCATATTCGGGCATAGAGTTGTTTGGTGAACTTGCAAATAGTAAAATATGACTTTACTGCTCCAGATGCCAATGATGGCAAACTGTCACCAAACTATTTGATGCATGACATTGTCCATAATGATTTAGGACATAGGTTTACAGGATGCTGCAAGGACATAGGTTTACAGGATGCTGCAAAGCTGTGCTCAAATATTCAATTCTTCTGCTAATATTGATTACAAAGACAGCTTGGAACATAACTAAGCACTTAAAGCATCGGTAGGCAACCTTTGGTACTCCAGATGTTGTTGACTATACTTCCCATAATGCTGGCAAAGCATCAGGGAAGAGGTAGTCTACCACATCTGAAATGACGAAGGAAGTTAAAGGAACACCATTGAGCTACAAACACAAACATATATTCCTAATGTTATAGTGTTCTACTCACTAATTACATGTCTGGGCCTCTAAATGAAAAGGAAATAGGGTTTTAATCACTTTTTGTGAGCACTGAGACTCACTCAGTGCTGCAGCTTGGTCTGCCTCCCATGATGTCATCCAGGAGGCATTGCTTTCTTGGCTTCTAGTCCAATCCAATGCTTTGCAGGCGCAGTGCTCATCCAATCATATGCTTCTCATAGGGAAGCATTGAACCCAGTGCTTTCCTAAAATAACCATTTGATGATATTTCACATTGAGCATCACATAACCCAGGCAAACTCCGTTATGAGTGTGTAAGTGTCTCTAGTGTCGGTCAGGAAGAGAGCCACTAGAGGTGTAAGTTCTCCTGCAATAAAACCATTGCTATATCTACTAATGTTTTACATTGCAAGGCTAAATACTGGATTAAGATGAAGTGGTCTGGGAGACTTTAGTTCCCTTTTAAAAACTCAAGCATGGTTATGTGAACTTGTGTACCCATTGTGGCTGAGATGTGGCTGCTCTCCTCTTCACTTCAGAATAAAAGCACTTACATTTACTGTGGCAAGTCTAGCAGTTTAATAAAATTACCTACTTGAATATGCCATTCCATTTTATGCCACACCGAAAATCTGACAGTATAGACCAAAACTACTGCGAGTCTTTTAACCAAATGCTGGATTTGAAACACCTGTCAGGAGGTACACTGAAAGAGATGCAAATTACAAAGGGTGTCTATGTACATTTTATATTCTAATTTTTATTTTTTTGTGAATAAGGTTTTAATTTTGGTGTTGCGTGTCTCCCTTTCCAATACCCCTAATAGCTGCGTTGTGTCGTATGTGTGTCCGAAAGGGCTCGAGTGTCAGAACAAAGAGCAGGGGGGATAGAGGGCATCCCTGCCTTGTGCCGTTGTTTATGGGGAATTCATTTGTCAGGGCTCCATTTACGATGACGTGGGCGGTGGGCCCGTTGTACAATGCCTCTACCCATCTCCGGAAGTCCGGTCCCAGCCCGATATGTGTTAGTGTGTGGAACATGTATTGCCAGTCATGGACAGCAGCAGAACGCCTTCGTCCCCACAATTTCGTCTGTGCATGAGAGTCAACGCTCTGATCGTGTTGTCTCTAGCCTCACGTCTCATGACGAAACCCACCTGGTCCGGGTGTATTAGTGTGGGGATGTGTGTTTGGAGGTGTGTAACCAATATTTTTGCCAACAGTTTGACATCGCAGTTGATGAGCGAGATGGGCCTATAGTTCCCACAGTATTCCCTGTCCTTTCCCTCCTTCGGGATGAGTGTGATGTGTGCTGTCAGTGATTGTTTTGGAAGGTGATGTCCTTCCCTCAGTGCGTTCAGTGCGTCTAGGAGAGGGGGATATAAGTGTTCCGCGAACGTTTTGTAATACTTTAGTGGTAGCCCATCCGGGCCTGGGCTTTTACCCTGTTTTGTCACTTTGATGGACTGAGCTAGTCCCTCTATTGAGATTTGTTCGTCTAGACTGTCTGCGATTTCCCAGTCTATGACGGGAGGGGGTGGGCCGTTAGATATGTTTGTATTCTCTCCCATAGGCTCTCCTTCGCCTTGTCTTGTTGGGGTCAGGGGATGGCATACAGGTTTGAGTAGTAGTTCTGCGTTATGTCTAGGATTTTAGAGGGTAAGTGGTGTAGGGTGCCCCGTGTGTCTCTCATTTTGTCAATGTATGTCCTCTGTCTTTGTTTGACTAGCATTCTGACCAGCAGTTTGCCACTCTTATTGCCATGGAGCTGGAAAAAAACCTTGTGCCTAATGGTGTTTCCTATGTAAAAGGCCTGTCAGCTCCTGTCTTAGATGTAGTAGTGTCGCCTGGTGCGTCGCGTGTTGTGTGTTTTTGTTAAGTGCTTCTACCCTTTGTATTTCCGTCACTAGTTCTGTCAGGCGGCTGTCGGTCTTCTTTTTAAGCATGGTGCCCTGGCGGAAGAAGTGTCCGCGAATTACGCTTTTGTGGGCCTCCCATCTAATGGTCGGCGAGGTTAATTTGGCAGTGTATATTCTAATTTTATTACTAAAAGAATCATCCAAAATTTCCAAGAAGAAAAAGAGAATGTACAAAATGAGTACCGGTCGTAGTCAGTAGACAAAGAGAAACAAATGTGCCATAATCAAAAAGAAGAAAAGATTATTACGTATAACTACTGGATATAAAACATACTATGCATCATTTGTAGTTTGAGGATTTATTATTGCACATTCCACTAATGACCCTAATTTATTTTAATATAATACTACATTGTTTTCAAACAAAGCACTAAAAGCAACACATATATCCCAGTAGGTATTGACTAATACCTTGTGATTGCCCCAGAGACGTGCCAATCCGTTGGGGTCAATGATTCTGAAAACCATCAACTCTTTATCCTCCCAGCGGATAAAGTTTTCGTATCGGCTGTCTGATAGAAGTTGGTACACATAATCCCATAACAGCCGGCAGTCTGGAAAGAAACAAAGAGGCCAAGTGTAAGGACATCATAAAACTCTCCCCAATCTGAAGAACACAAGACTGAGAAAGCTGATCTCCTCTCTCCTCCCTATTTTACATTTAGTCTTGTAAACGCAATTACATTATGCACTTATACAATTCTTTTAATTCTTACATGTTTTAAAAAAATATTAAGCATAAAGATATTTTGTTAGTCAATTACCTGTATTTTAATAATAACAATGATTTGTTAACATTTTACCAGATATCCCTGTTTCAAGTATGTAAAGTATGCAATTCTATGTCAACTCAACTTATTTAATTGATCTTGGAAGACAGATGGGATAAGTTCACCTAGCTGTGGCTAGATCCTGTGACCTTGTGGTGTGATCTCATTTAACATTGGTGTTTTAACCAAATGAACTATACAATGGACGTAATAAATTATATTTTCTTTTAAAATTCAAAAACGTATTCCCTTTTCGTTATATACTTTTAAAAGTGTGTGATATGCATTAGCATAGGGTTACAAAAGTGAACACAGTAGCACACAAAATAAAACAGAACAGGCTTAAATATACATATTGCTACAGAATGTACTGGTGGATCAGATCTTGGAAGCGGAATATCTAACAAAAGCCAGCATGTATTCGTGTGTGACACACACACACAAAACCAAGAGGGCTACACTCACCTGAACATGCATTCAGAAAACATAAGCAATTCAGCGCACTCGCTGACTCCATACATACACACACACATATATGTATGTATTTATGAATATATAGACATATCACAACTCACACAGTTATACACAAAGATATTAACAATAGAAATATTAACCATGTAAACATGCACTAACACTTTATATTTGTTTAAATTAGCATACTGTTAACATTTGCATATAATCTAGATCTTGATGGCTAACCTTTGGCAATCTGCTTGCTGCAGATTGGTTTCCCATGATGCTCCAGCAGCAGAATGGCTGAGGTCAGCTATTACTGCATCAATTAGAAGCCCTATGGTACAAAGTCCTCGATGACACTATTTGCTTTTGTTAAACTTATCTCCCCTATGCTTAATACTGTGAAATATACCAGTGCTTCAAAGTGAACTTGTTTTGCAAAGATACTCTTATTTGTTTAGGAGGCACTGCAATTTACATTAATAATGATCACATTTCCCTGTTCAATAAGCAAATCCATTTAACCTTCCTATGATTCCATGCATTCCAGAATGGAATATCAATTTATTGTCAGTTGTCTGCTCACTTTTCCCAATATTTTACGGGAAACAGAGGGAAAGTATGCAGACTTTAATTAAATGCTGTGCCAAAGACAGCTGTAACAGTCACATGAAAAATAATGATATAAAAAAACAGAAAAAAATGTGTTTTGCAAAATTAAGCGGGGAACATGTTCTAAGTGTTTAAAAGTAAAAGAGTAGTAGCTATTACTTTAGAATCAACATACCACATATCTCTCCAACATTTAACCACTGTTCTTTTGGTAAACACATACAGTGACATACCTGCTATCCTGCCCATGGGCACAGACTGCTCCTCAGGAGGTGATACAGACACCATAATATGGTTCATGTAAGACATCTCCTCCCGGTGTGAAAGGTTCATGGGCTTGCCTTCCCGTTGTTGCCCGTCATCTGTGCCCAGACGAGGTTGCTTGAATTCTACAGCATGGCGCTGATTAAGAAGCAATGGATGCATGATAGGGCTTGGCATTAGTTGAATGACCCTTGGATTGTCCTGTCTTGGGCTGCTAGGTTTGTTAAGAGGTTCAATTGGGCAATGGTTGGCTTCAGCAGGGGACACAGATAGTGGGTAGGGGTCCTGAACATGGTGATTGGGTTCACTTTGCATACGATGCAGACGTTCAGCAGGGGAGGGACGTCGAATGTTTGTATCAAGCGGAGAGCGCAATGGGCGGGGCTCTAGGTCAGGGGAAGGGTGATGGTTGGAAGAGAGTGGAGAGCGTGAGCGGTGCAATAGCTCTATAGTGGGGGTGTTCTGCTGTGGCATATCAGAAGGTGTTCGTAAAGGTCTCTGGGGATGGTGATCTAGATAAATAAATGGGTATGTTAGTTGGCAGTACATTAAAATCAACTGCAGAAAAAATGCTTTAAACACATAAAAAGGTGTTTACAAACACTGTAATTAAAAACAAAACAAAAACACCAAATGTAAACAAAATCTACATAAATACATAAAATGTGTTTAAACATTTCAGAGAGGAGTAGAATAGTGTCACAAATACAGAATACCCTTCTAGCTGAAGTGGTAAAGGTTAACACAGTGAGGGAGTTTACGCATGCGTGGGTTAGGCATAACGCTATCCTAGGCTTAAGATAAGACCAAGGACTAATGAAAGTATTCAGAAAATTGGTCAGACTAGATGGGCCAAATGGTTCTTATCTGTCATCACATTCTATGTTTCAATGTTTCTGAGGTGCTAATGCAATCTGCAGAACAGAGGAATAAATCAGAATCAAATAGAGGGGAAAAAGAGAGACAGACACACTCACAAAGGTTATGAGTGTAAATGTGTGTGCAAAATGTATACTCTCTATATTTAAAAGGGACCTTCTGGGAAGGGAAGGACACTTGGTGTTTGTTTAGATGGGTGTAACTTTTTAAAACTCAACATTTTTCTGTTTAAACACTATTTAACAACATCCATCTCTATGCAGACTATTGAATCACTGCATGGAAGGGAAAAAACAAAACAAAAAAAAAACAAAACTCACCTTCATGGTGATTATGGGAGAGCAGGATTTCGGGGTGGCTGTGTAGGGAATTTCCAGTGTGAAATATCGAGGATTGGATTAGTCTTGGTTTCCTCTGCTTTAGGATGTGCTGGAGAACCTCATAGAGGACATCACCTGCAGAATGAATAATATGTTCCACCCATCACTGCCGCACCGTAATGTGAGCAACTGTGTCTTGCTTCATTAGAGGCTAAACAGTGACTGAGCCTATAACCACTACCATGGGTCACATAATTCCAGAGACACACTTGTGGTTTCAGCTACATGCCAAATCACACATTCACTGTGAGACAGTCACCATAGCATAAAGTGTTCATTCTTGTCCTCAGCGTGCTAAGAAGCATATTGTCTCGTGGACCTATTTAAACTAATGATCAAGCAGTTACATTTTTAGACCTCTGCCCCAGCATTGCCCTTTCTATGGTTTGGTTTGAAGGTGAAAAGGAAGATTGCAGTTGACTATAACAAGTCTGTCAACAAGTAGAAAACTACATTCTAAAAGACAACATGTTTTCAACCACCTAAAAAATAAAATAAAAATATCACTTAGCGAGGCATATATCCTAAGGGACACTAAGTAAAATACAAATTTTCTGGAGGGTCAACCAACAGATAATTCAATTTGGTTGAACTACTAAATATACAATTTAATTGCATATAATTGCATTACTATTTTCGCACAAGCCTCAATTTAATATTTTTGGATAAGCTTTTCAAATGATCAAAATCTGATAGAAAAACTTTTCAAATTATTTATTCACAAATAATCACATATAAATGATCTTTTTTCTTTAAAGTTTGTGAACATTTGCAAAGCTTATTTGAAAATGTTAAATTGAAGCCCTAGTTTAGGTATACACAGCACCTTAGTGACAACTGAGTTACCCAGTGAGAGATGGACAGCTACACAAACCTATTGATGGATTGACACATTGTTTTTTTTCAGATTATCTAGAATATACACATATACAGACACAAAAACAGCCATCTTGGGGCTGTTCTAACCAAATGGAATTTCCTGCTTGATTGCAGAACATTTATTATTTAAAAAATCACCCTTTTTGTCATCTAAGTGCAAGCTGCTAAAAGTAAGCCAACTTCCCCTAATATGGCTAATACACTGACCCATGCTCCCATCTTGCGATTTTCTTACCGGAGTGTGAGCACCGATATCTAAAGTCTTCCTTCGTTAGAAGTAGCAGGGCTTTGCCATTCATTTCAAAAGTGTTGCTTTCTATGGCACGCAGAGAGAATTCATTCTCAGCCCATCGTAACCATTGGGACACATCCTCCCTCGTCCACTGTGCAGGGGGAAGACCTGCGGGAATGGCAAGAGAACATTACAAATAAAATTGACATAGCACCTACATACCCAACAGCCAAAAACCCTAAACATGAATTGTACATAACTGTCAAGAATATGTACTAAGAAAAAGCACATATGAAAAAACTAAAACTATATACAATAAATATGAGCAACCTATGGATTAAGAATTAAATAGTTAACAAAACATATACTCAATTGGTTGTTTTTTTTTTTTTTTTTTTACTATTTTTCACAACTTGAGTTTTGCCTGTTAGCCCTTTCCCATCATGCACTGCATCAAAACAGAAAGATGTGTCTTCGATGCAGGAAATTTCCTGCGGTCAAACAGACATTGCTGTATGCTGTTATCACACACAACAGGCCTGCCCGGGCAGCTGCATATTTCTGTGACAACCACGTGTCACAACTGGGAGTTACATGAAGGGTACATGTTTACCTGTCAATGAAATCAAGATACACTCCTTAACTACAGAAGTGGCAGCAGTGTTTTAAACCAGCATGCCCAATACTGATCAAACTAATTACCATCATTCTGCCAACAATAACTGGCACAGTGCTACGAGAAATACAGTCCAATAGTTGAGTTGATCCTTGATTGAGCTTGTATTGTGCATAATACAAGTCCCCACAGCCATTTGGAATATATTTTAACCAACATTTTCTTTTTTTTTTTCCATAAATTTAAATTCACATGAGAAAATATTTTAAATATTTTAAAGGGGCATTGTTAGTACGCAAACACAGTAATTTAATACTAAATATTAGTAATTAAACAGACATCTCTATGATTCAATGGATCACAAGGTCACCAGCTTCTCAGGTTTCATCTGCACATCACATACACTGATATTTATCACACACACACACACAATTTATATTTATATATATATTGTGATCCTACATCTTTTGCACAGAAGTGTATGTCACCCTGCAATGTAAACATTGTGGTTTCTAAAAACAACTACAATGATTCACATTGTAGGGCTAATATGACTGGACCACTGCATCCAGGCCACTTCATTAAGATTAAATGGTAAGGGTGACTTTAGTGGTTTCCACTGACAATCTCAGAATTACCATCAATGAATCCTCGTGTCTGCAGAGAGTCATCTAAGTACTTATGCAATTAAGCGTTAGAACCCAGTGGCTAAGCCTGTTTTTGTACTGGTACAAAATAAAACAAATTAAATCCACTGTTTCTAAAACACAGTTAGAAAATAAAAGGAAATGAGAATGAAGATTGAAAAAAAAAAAAAAAAAAAGAAGCCTTTAAGGATGATTGGGTGGATTTATTGCCTTGACACTTTAGAAATACACAGCCGTCACTGAAGCAACAAACAAAATATATATATCATTAATAGTAGCTTATCGAGCTCTGCCTCGAATAGCAAGGACATAGAAGATATATGGCAGAGATGTTTTTGCATTGCTAAGTGTTGGGTGGCTCTACTGGTTGGAAAGGTGACACCCAGAAATTATAATTTAGTGACATTTTCTGGGAAACTCCCGGCAGTTAGACGGTGATCAGTGAACTCAAATGACTTGGCTTGGTCTTTTGTAAGACATCAGGTCACAGACTCCTTTATGTAAGAACATCTCCTGCAGGCCGAATCAGACTTGACCCATGTGTCTTGAATTGATGGCAAATGTCGATGAATGCAAAAGTAAGAAATATAATGACATTACAGTGCCCAGCAAGTAGTTTTTCTGTCACAGATTGTAGGACTCTGTTAAATAAAATTTGAAATGTAAAGTGTATATTTTTATAAGCACCCCCCAAAAAATGGCTTGTACGGACAATGTGCAGTCTGCAGGCGATTGCTGAAATTACCCCTAAAAAGTAATTATTTTTTTTTGCTAATCCTCTTTGCCGTGATGACCTATTTCTCTTATGCTGGGCAAGCAGCCTGAAACGGAACGCCTTATGAAAACTATCTCAGGAGGCACCTATCTGACTTTCCTTAGTGCCTGAGAAATTCTTATCACTGTGTATATTTGTATAGAATCCAAGAATACCCAAGTTACAGTCATTTTATTTGTTTAGTTTTTAAGTACCTGGAAAAAAAGAAAAGAAAAATAAAAGTACTATAGATATAGTTTGCTGTATGCAGTTGCGAGGAATGTTTGCAATACCTGATCTGTTTTTATTATGGATGGTGATTCCTGCTGCACATTGGTGAAGGAGTTAATTTTAGTCAAAGGCTGTCATGCACTTTCTAGTTGTGACTTGAATTCGTCATATAGTTAGGAAACGCTGCCGCGTTCCAAGAACCTCTCTGCCGGAAACCTCATCAACCCACACAGGAAATTCCTTGCACTCCAAATTCCCCAAATAGGAAATTTCCCTCATGTTCCAAAAAGAAGGGACAAGAAGGTGGGGGGGCACCTATCTGTACCTAGTCTGTGTTTGCACAGACAGGGGAGAGTAATTAACTGTATATGGTCTGCATGGAGACACATGGTGCTGACCAGAGCTTCATATTTTTTTTTTTTTTTACAATACATTTTTATTGTGAGTAGGAACAGTAGAGTGCAAGCAGAAGTATAATATGTAAGAAAATAAGTAGAAGTGAAAGAAGCGAATCGTACAGGTTTAACTGCCACTTGTTTTTAAAGCAATGTAATATAAATGACGATACACATTTACACTGTTCAGTGTATATTACATACTCAAAATAAACAAAAAATATAGCATAGAAACAGCATGGATATTTCTTGCATTAGCCATTAAAGAAACCCAAAGACGTGCAGTGATCAGAATTTCACACAAGTCATGCAGTGCGGTGTAATAGGAACGAAATAACATGAAGCAAATGCAGGTTAGGTCATATCAGCAGGAAATGTGAAACAGCATAATGTAAAGGAAATTGGACAGTTCGAATCCTCACAACCTCTTAAAGGGTACCGGTCATGGAACTTTTAACGCATGGTTTGACAAATCCCAGGCACCTGGTCGCTATGGCGACTAGGAATTTTGTATTGGCGCCTTGGTGTTTGTCAGTCCGTTCAGCACCAGTCACCCGAAGGTGGGCATTTGTAAGAAATAGAGGGAGCTGTAATCTTCACGCTCATCTTACTCTGGTTCCTGCTGTGATGTTGTGATATGATGTCACTCCAGCCCCGGCATCACTAAACAGTGCGTGACGGAGCAGAGCAAGAAGCGCATGAAGATTATAGGATCACAGCAGTTCCACTAAAGCCCAGGGGAAGGAACCACTCCACCTATTCTAAAGTTAGGGCTGGGCAGACTTGAAGTGACACTATAGTCACCAGAACAACTACAGCTTAATGTATTCTTCTGGTGAGTATAGTCAGTCCCTGTAGGCTTTTTGCAGCTTACATTGTCCCCTGGGGACACTTTCAGATGTTTGCTAGAGGTGCTTCCTGGGGCAGTGTCACTGAACATTCCTCATCGAGATGCATTGATTCAATGCATCTCTATGAGGAGAGACTGATTGGCCAAGCCAGTGTTTGATCCCGCACCAATCCCACCTCCTTACTGATCTCAGCCAATCCAATGCGGATTGGCTTAACTCATCAAATCTAATGAGGTCAGCAAAGGAGGCATCTTTTAAGGGTTTGTGTTTCTTTAAATTAAAATAAAACAATTTGTGTATGCGTAAGAGAATGTGTGTGTCTGTCAATGTGTCTGCGTTGGTCTATCAGTGAGTGTGTGTTTAGGTGACTGGCCCCCCTCTGATCGAATGGGAAAGATGATTTTACCCACCTTTTACCCCGCGATGTGCCAGCCTCACATCCATGGCTGAGATCATCAATTATATAGTCACCCAGACCACTTCAGCTCAAAGAAGTCTGGGTGTCATGTCCCTCTAGGGTTAACCCTGCCTGATGTACTGCGGCACTGCCGTGCATGCGCATTCGGCGTCAGTGACGTCAGCTGGCATCGGCGGGGGAGGAGAGGTAAGGGTGAGTAGCTGAAGGGGTTTTAACCCCTTCAGCACTGCGGGAGGGGGAGGGCACCCTCTGGGGGGCACCCTCTGGGGACTATAGGTTTTCCTGACACTATAGTGTCCATTTAAATCCAAGCTTTAAAGCAATTTACTTTTTTTTGTAAAAATACATAACCGGGACATATTAAACAGAATCTGCATAACAAACCTCGTAGGTGCCCTGACTGCAATGCTGATGGCCACGTTGACCTAAATTTAGCAAAGAACTGACATTATGTGTAACTATTACAAATATCTCTATATGTGCTGCGTTTCAAGCTGAAAAGCTCTTCTGAAAGTAAAAGTGGTCATGGTTGATTGTTGGAGTACCCTTTAAAAACAAAGGTTTCTCTGACTAACCTGGGTAAGTAACTCTAAAGCCTAAAGCCTCCAGTTTCAGCAATTCTCCACGTATTTCCATCAACCTGGCAAGGTCCAACTATTAAAGCATTGAGTTTAATGGTACAGTTCAAAATAAACACCATTTAACGTTCAACCAACAATATTAAATTGTTACATATGCACAGAGGCAAATTCTGATTATTAAAGGATTAAATCTTAATGACAGTGAAAAGTCACTAGTTCCTATCAATCAATATAACAACAGAGCTATACACAATCTACAACTTTAGAGGGAAAATTATTAAGTCACAAGTTTAAAGGACCACTCTAGGCACCCAGACCACTTCAGCTTAATGAAGTGGTCTGGGTGCCAGGTGCTTCTAGGGTTAACCCATTTTTTTTTATAAACATAGCAGTTTCAGAGAAACTGCTATGTTTATAAATGGGTTAATCCTTCCCCCTAATCCTCTAGTGGCTGTCTCATTGACACTAGTGGCGCTTGCGTGCTTCTCACTGTGATTTTCACAGTGAGAGCACGCAAGCGTCCATAGGAAAGCATTGAATGCTTTCGCGCATCGCTGAATGCGCGCAGCTCTTGCCGCTGCGGCGATTCAACCCAGGAGGAGGAACGGAGGAGGAGAGGAGGCAGAGAGCTCCCCGCCCAGCGCTGGAAAAAGGTAAGTTTTTACCCCTTTCCCCCTTCCAGAGCCGGGCGGGAGGGGGTCCCTGAGGGTGGGGGCACCCTCAGGGCACTATAGTGCTGCTGCAGAAGCTCTTAGAAAGGCGAGCTGTCACTCGATCGCATATTTCCATTGGCGCTCCTTATAGATCGTTAAATCATTACTGCTTCTCTCTTTCTGCAGCAAGGTTTCAGATTCCATGCTTTTGGGGCCACGGAGCCATGGCTATAGAAACATAGAATGTGACGGCAGATAAGAACCATTCGGCCCATCTAGTCTGCCCAATTTTCTAAATACTTTCATTAGTCCCTAGTCTTATCTTATAGTTAGGATAGCCTATGCCACGCATGCTTAAACTCCTTTACTGTGTTAACCTCTACCACTTCAGCTGGAAGGCTATTCCATGCATCCACTACCCTCTCAGTAAAGTAATACTTCCTGATGTTATTTTTAAACCTTTGTCCCTCTAATTTGAGACTATGTCCTCTTGTTGTGGTAGTTTTTCTTCTTTTAAATATAGTCTCCTTTTTTACTGTGTTGATTCCCTTTATATATTTAAATGTTTCTATGATATCCCCCTGTCTCATCTTTCCTCCAAGCGATACATGTTAAGATCCTTTAACCTTTCCTGGTAAGTTTTATCCCGCAATCCATGAACCAGTTTAGTAGCCCTTCTCTGAACCCTCTCTAAGGTATCAATATCCTTCTAAAGATACGGTCTCCAGTACTGTGTACAATACTCCAAGTGAGGTCTCACCAGTGTTCTGTACAATGGCACGAGCACTTCCCTCTTTCTACTGCTAATACCTTTCCCTATACAACCAAGCATTCTGCTAGCATTTCCTGCTGCTCTATTACATTGTCTGCCTACCTTTAAGTCATCATAAATAATCACCCCTAAATCCTTTTCCTCATATGTTGAGGTTAGGACTCTATGAAATATTCTGTACTCTGCCCTTGGGTTTTTACGTCCAAGATGCATTATCTTGCACTTATCCACATTAAATGTCAGTTGCCACAATTCTGACCATTTTTCTAGTTTACCTAAATCATTTGCCATTTGGCTTACCCCTCCTGGAACATCCACCCTGTTACATATCTTAGTATCATCAGCAAAAAGACATACCTTACCATCAAGACCTTCTGTAATATCACTAATAAAAATATTAAAGAGAATGGGTCCAAGTACAGATCCCTGAGGTACCCCACTGGTGACAAGTCCAAGCTTCGAATATATATTCCATTAACTACAACCCTCTGTTGCCTGTCACTCAGCCACTGCCTTACCCATTCAACAATATTGGAATCCAAACTTAAAGATTGCAGTTTATTGATAAGCCTTCTATGTGCAACAGTGTCAAAGCCTTACTGAAATCTAGGTAAGCAATGTCTACTGCACCACCCTGATCTATAATTGTAGTTACCCAATCAAAAAAATCAATAAGATTAGTTTGGCATGATCTCCCTGAAGTAAACCCATGTTGTCTCTAATCTTGAAATCCATGTGTTTTTAGATGTTCAACAATCCTATCCTTTAATATGGTTTCTATCACTTTCCCCACTACTGAAGTAAGGCTTACTGGCCTATAGTTGCCCGACTCCTCCCTATTACCTTTCATGTAAATGGGCACAACATTCGCTAACTTCCAATCTTCTGGGACTACTCTTGTTAACAATGATTGGTTAAATAAATCTGTTAATGGTTTTGCTAGTATACCACTAAGCTCTTTTAATAGCTTTGGGTGTATTCCATCAGGTCCCATTGACTTATTTGTCTTTACTTTTGACAGTTGAAATAGAACCTCTTCCTCTGTAAACTCACATGTAATAAATGACTCATTTATCCTTTTTCTTAACTGAGGTGCCTTTCCTTCATTTTCATCTGTAAATACATAACAAAAATATTAATTGAGGCAGTCAGCTAGACCTTAATCCTCTTCTACATACCTTCCTTCTTTTGTTTTTAATCTAACTAATCCTTGTTTTACTTTTCTTTTCTCATTTATGTATCTAAAACATGTTTTATCCCCCTTTTTTACTGACTGTGCTATTTTCTCTTCTGTGTGTGATTTGGAAGCTCTTATAACTTGCTTAGCCTCTTTCTGCCTAATCTTATAGATAATTTTGTCTTCCTCACTCTGGGTTTTTTTATAATTCCTAAATACTAACTTTTTGTTTTTGGCCACATCTGCAGAGTACCACAGTGGTTTCTTGAATTTTTTGCTTTTACTGACAAACCTAATGCAATTTTCTGTTGCCTTCAATAGTGCAACTTTTAAATAATCCCATTTCTCTTGGACTCCATTTAAATTGCTCCAGTCTGATAATGACTCCTCTACCCATATCCTAATTTTAGAAAAGTCTGTTTTTCTAAAGTCTAAAACTTTTGTTTTTGTGTGGTGTGACTCAGTCACTGTTCTTATATTAAACCACACTGACTGATGGTCACTGGATCCTAAACTTTCACCTACAGTAATATCTGATACCAAATCTCCATTTGTTAACACTAAATCTAGTATGGCCTCTTTACGAGTTGACTCCTCAACAACTTGTTTTAGAGACAATCCCAGTAGGGAGTTTAGAATATGTGTGCTCCTGGCACAAGTAGCTAATTTTGTTTTCCAATTTACATCAGGAAGATTAAAGTCACCCATGATGATAACTTCCCTCTTCATTGTCATTTTAGCTACTCAACTAGTAGATTATCTAACTCTTCAATTTGTCCTGGGGGCCTATAAATCACACCTACACGAGTTACTGTGTGATTACCAAATTCTAACGTAACCCAAATGGACTCTAAGTTTGCCTCACTAACTTTTATTAGGCTAGATTTTATGCTATCCTTCACATACAGGGCCACCCCTCCCCCTTTCTTGCCTTCCTTATCTTTTCTATATAAAGAGTACCCTGGTATTGCTATGTCCCAGTCATGGCAATCTCAGAATGACACTGGACACAGTGCTTAGTTATACACAAGGTTAATTAGAAACATAACAGTGAATTTAACAGTCAAGCTTGGCCATTTAAAAGCACAGGCTTTATTCTTGATCTAGTTTATCGATACATCTAGACAGCAGCATGTGTATTCCAAACTTTCTCAAACTCTTATACTAGGTTGTTACCACCTACTGGAAGATATTTTAAGACATCTACAACTACTTGAGTGAAAAGCACTAAACCTAAACCTTTAATCCCTCCATCCAAATTCAGACCATGTTCTCTTGTTCTAGCTACCACATTTACATTTAAGTGGTATGATTTTATTTGGATAAATTTGGCCGATTAAATCTGAAATCTTTATTTAATCCACCATAAATAAAGAACCCTCTGAATAAAGGTCTGTTATCCATATGATGGATTAGTACATAACAGTTTGTAAAAACCAAGTACTATAAAGAGTTAAGAAACATCCTCCCCTTCAGGAGAAAAGTTCTGTAAAAAAGCTTTCCCATGAACTTGTGCAATTTCTCTAGTCTAAAAATTCCCCTTTTCATACGGCCTGAGCTATGAGAGAATGAAAATGGTTAGATTGGTGCACGACTGTTCCAGAGAGCAGAGAAGGTTTGCTATGGAGGACGTTGAGGCAGGCCTGGTATATTATGGGCATGCCAAAGTATGTTGTGTTAATAAGTTGCACAATATCATAAGAAGAATACAGTCACTTTCTTTAAACCTATACCGGCCATATTCTGAGCACTGTATATGGATTTCACATGCATGTCTACTATAAAAATATGTGCTATTTCCCATGCTGCTTTCAGAGATATAACTCCTATAAAGAAGTTTCCTTTTTACCTGATACAGGGTAACCAATTGTATGCACAACAATAGGCACCCAGACAACTTCAACGCATTGAAGTGGTCTAGGTGCAGTGTCCCAGTGACACTTAGTCCTGCAATGTAAATCATTAGTGTTTTTGAGAAACTGCAATGATAACATTGCAGGACTAAAACGGACTCTAGTGGTTGTCAATCAGACAAGTGCTAGAGACACTTCCTGGTGGTTCTACATGAAGATACTTTCCCCACTACTGAAGTAAGGCTTACTGGCCTATAGTTGCCCGACTCCTCCCTATTACCTTTCATGTAAATGGGCACAACATTCGCTAACTTCCAATCTTCTGGGACTACTCTTGTTAACAATGATTGGTTAAATAAATCTGTTAATGGTTTTGCTAGTATACCACTAAGCTCTTTTAATAGCTTTGGGTGTATTCCATCAGGTCCCATTGACTTATTTGTCTTTACTTTTGACAGTTGAAATAGAACCTCTTCCTCTGTAAACTCACATGTAATAAATGACTCATTTATCCTTTTTCTTAACTGAGGTGCCTTTCCTTCATTTTCATCTGTAAATACATAACAAAAATATTAATTGAGGCAGTCAGCTAGACCTTAATCCTCTTCTACATACCTTCCTTCTTTTGTTTTTAACCTAACTAATCCTTGTTTTACTTTTCTTTTCTCATTTATGTATCTAAAACATGTTTTGTCCCCCTTTTTTACTGACTATGCTATTTTCTCTTCTGTGTGTGATTTGGAAGCTCTCATAACTTGCTTAGCCTCTTTCTGCCTAATCTTATATATCATTTTGTCTTGCTCACTCTGGGTTTTTTTTATAATTCCTAAATGCTAACTTTTTGTTTTTAACTATTTTGGCCACATCTGCGGAGTACCACAGTGGTTTCTTGAATTTTTTGTTTTACTGACAAGCCTAATGCAATTTTCTGTTGGCTTCAATAGTACAACTTTTAAATAATCCCATTTCTCTTGGACTCCATTTAAATTGTTCCAGTCTGATAATGACTCCTCTACACATAGTCTAATTTTAGAAAAGTCTGTTTTTCTAAAGTCTAAAACTTTTGTTTTTGTGTGGTGTGACTCAGTCACTGTTCTTATATTAAACCACACTGACTGATGATCACTGGATCCTAAACTTTCACCTACAGTAATATCTGATACCAAATCTCCATTTGTTAACACTAAATCTAGTATGGCCTCTTTACGAGTTGGCTCCTTAACAATTTGTTTTAGAGACAATCCCAGTAGGGAGTTTAGAATATGTGTGCTCCTGGCACAAGTAGCTAATTTTGTTTTCCAATTTACATCAGGAAGATTAAAGTCACCCATGATGATAACTTCCCTCTTCATTGTCATTTTAGCTACTCAACTAGTAGATTATCTAACTCTTCAATTTGTCCTGGGGGCCTATAAATCACACCTACACGAGTTACTGTGTGATTACCAAATTCTAACGTAACCCAAATGGACTCTAAGTTTGCCTCACTAACTTTTATTAGGCTAGATTTTATGCTATCCTTCACATACAGGGCCACCCCTCCCCCTTTCTTGCCTTCCTTATCTTTTCTATATAAAGAGTACCCTGGTATTGCTATGTCCCAGTCATGGCAATCTCAGAATGACACTGGACACAGTGCTTAGTTATACACAAGGTTAATTAGAAACATAACAGTGAATTTAACAGTCAAGCTTGGCCATTTAAAAGCACAGGCTTTATTCTTGATCTAGTTTATCGATACATCTAGACAGCAGCATGTGTATTCCAAACTTTCTCAAACTCTTATACTAGGTTGTTACCACCTACTGGAAGATATTTTAAGACATCTACAACTACTTGAGTGAAAAGCACTAAACCTAAACCTTTAATCCCTCCATCCAAATTCAGACCATGTTCTCTTGTTCTAGCTACCACATTTACATTTAAGTGGTATGATTTTATTTGGATAAATTTGGCCGATTAAATCTGAAATCTTTATTTAATCCACCATAAATAAAGAACCCTCTGAATAAAGGTCTGTTATCCATATGATGGATTAGTACATAACAGTTTGTAAAAACCAAGTACTATAAAGAGTTAAGAAACATCCTCCCCTTCAGGAGAAAAGTTCTGTAAAAAAGCTTTCCCATGAACTTGTGCAATTTCTCTAGTCTAAAAATTCCCCTTTTCATACGGCCTGAGCTATGAGAGAATGAAAATGGTTAGATTGGTGCACGACTGTTCCAGAGAGCAGAGAAGGTTTGCTATGGAGGACGTTGAGGCAGGCCTGGTATATTATGGGCATGCCAAAGTATGTTGTGTTAATAAGTTGCACAATATCATAAGAAGAATACAGTCACTTTCTTTAAACCTATACCGGCCATATTCTGAGCACTGTATATGGATTTCACATGCATGTCTACTATAAAAATATGTGCTATTTCCCATGCTGCTTTCAGAGATATAACTCCTATAAAGAAGTTTCCTTTTTACCTGATACAGGGTAACCAATTGTATGCACAACAATAGGCACCCAGACAACTTCAACGCATTGAAGTGGTCTAGGTGCAGTGTCCCAGTGACACTTAGTCCTGCAATGTAAATCATTAGTGTTTTTGAGAAACTGCAATGATAACATTGCAGGACTAAAACGGACTCTAGTGGTTGTCAATCAGACAAGTGCTAGAGACACTTCCTGGTGGTTCTACATGAAGATATTCAGCGTCCGTTAAATCCCCAATAAGAAAGCTTTATAGCAATGCTGTCCTATGGGGAGGGCCAAATGTGCTCTCAGCACATACACATTAGCCCCCCGGTGGGTGTGGGAGGAGAAGCACCAACCCAGGTCATTGCTGGAATCAGGTAAGTGTCAGAAGTTTTTTTTTAATCCTTGAAACAATGGTGGGTGGGGGAGAATACAGCTTTGTATTCTATAAACTATAGAATCCCTTTAAATATATTTATTGACCCCGGAATTGATTATCATTATCTACATATTTTGATTATCTACAGATTAATTCTACATTGTTAATGGTTTATTTATTTAAACGATTATTGCTTTATTAGTACTTTATTAGCAACCAAAGCTAAAATATAAATTTTGATTACTTGCTCCCATTCAGTGGACAATGAGCAAAAGGGCAGAACAGATGACAACAACATGAAAATGAGTGTGATATAATTACCTCACTAATGATATCAAGGTGTAAAGCTGAAATATGATTTGTTTGATATCAGTCAGTGAAATGAGACTGCTCAAACTACAAGGTGTCTATTCAGAAGCCTCCAAATAGAAAGAAAATTATTCTGCTGTAGTCACAATTTGGCTATTTTGCCCTAAATTAGGCACTTTGCTTTTCAGCTCGCTGCAATTCAGTGGTTACGGAATAAAACCTGGAGTTTAATATAACAGTATCTTTGTAGGGTACCGTATATACTCGAGTATAAGTCAACCCGAATATAAGCCGAGGCCCCTAATTTTAGCACAAGAAAACGGGAAAACGGATTGACTCGAGTATAAGCATAGGGTGTGAAATGCGGCAGCTACTGGTAAATTTCTAAATAAAATTAGATCCCAGTAAAATTACATTAAACTAATATTTATTTACAGTGTGTGTATATAACAAATGCAGTGTGTGTGTGTGTGTGTTTGTGTAGTGTGTGTATATAATGAATGCAGTGTGTGTGTGTTTGTGTAGTGTGTATACAATGAATGCAGAGTGTTTGTGTTTGTGTAATGTGTGTATATAATGAATGCAGTGTGTGTGTTTGTGTAGTGTGTGTATATAATGAATGCAGTGTGTGTGTTTGTGTAGTGTGTGTATATAATGAATGCAGAGTGTGTGTGTTTGTGTGAATGCAGTGTGTGTGTAGTGTGTGTGTGTGTAAACTGGGTGGGAGAGGGCATTTTTATAATTTTAATATTATTTTATTTTTATTTTTTTATTTTAATATTTTAATTTATTTTTTATTTTAATATTATAAAATGAAATTTTTTTTGTCAGGGAGGGGGGCTATGGCAATCTCTGGTGGTCCAGTGGATGGGTTGTGCATGGGGGGCCGGAGCGAGCTCTTACCTTTGTAGCAGCTCCGGTCAGTTACCTGTCAGCTCCGTGCAGCTCCCCAGTTCAGCTCACAGTGTAAGTTTTGTGGTCTCTCTGATGGCCCCGGGTGTCGCGAGACTTATACTGTGAGCTGAATTGGGGAGCTGCACCGTGCTGACCGGAGCTGCTACAAAGGTAAGTAAGAGCTCGCGGCCAGCCCCCAACAGGACCGCCGGGCTTATAATGAGCCCGGCGGTCCTGGTCTGTATTATGGCAATGTAAGTTGCCATAATACAGACCTTGACTCGAGTATAAGCCAAGTGGGGCTTTTTCAGCACAAAAAATGTGCTGAAAAACTCGGCTTATATTCGAGTTTATACGGTATATAACTCCTCTTTCTGTAGATTTCTTCAGTCCCTGGCTACAAATATTTGAATTTGTATATTATACAAGCCATTTCATTAACTAGAAAGATGGAGAGCACAGCAGTAAACCAAAAACCAACGACATTCCTAATTCTTAGATACTAGCAAGCTCTTTAAGCACTGTTCGTGCTGGTCCCTAAGGCTTTCACTGGGTTACACAATGACATTTAATGCGCAATTTACAGACTTACATCAAATAGCCACCAAAGGGACCTTGTTTTGCAAAAAAAATTCAGTTTTATCTCCTTAGTGCATTATCTAAAATACTGCACAATGTTAAATCACTTTCGAGCAATGATTTATAGATGCACCGCATTTTGAAGTACAAATGCTGTATTTGTGGGCAATCTAAAAATTCACACCGGAGACTAGATCTGTACATTTACCATATAGATACCATTATATAGACCAGAGAGATTATACATTGTTTTAAAAATGATTTATTTTATTCTTCCAAATACCACCTGCTTCTTGTAGTTTTTTTATTTTATTTTATTTATTTATTTATTTATTTTTTTCTTTGCAATTCTTTATTTTTGCGTGCAAGGTTAGTTACATAACTACCCGTATGGCCACAACAGCCTTCCGGGTTTTCAAAACGTTTCATGACATCACAACGTAGTTTAGGCATACATAGCAGTCAGTCGATTCTAGTCTGTGGTGTCAGCTAGTTCTGCACATTTTTAAAATAATTTGTGGATCAGTTGGTGTCGAACTGAGGCAACATTGGAGTAATAATAACCCAAGGGTTGTCTGTTTGGGGTTGGTTGCGTGTTCGTGCCCCCTTATATGTTCCCGGAAGGGGTTATTTGTGTGTACGAATGGTTGTCCTCAGTGATGTGCGTGTCCACAGGTGAGTGCTATGAAGTCCGCGTATGTCAGCGTGTGTCTGTTTGTGTATACATGTATATAGGGGTTGTCGCTCTTTGAGCCTATGTGTGCCTCAGCGATCGTCCAGTGGGTTGGGAATTGACTCCTTACCGAGGGGGTCACGGGGGGGGTGGGAGGAGGTGTGTTCTCCCTGGAGCTTTTTCAGGGTAGGTCTTGTCTGATGTTATGTCGGCAGCAGTTATAGTGTAGCGTATAGTTAGTCGTGTAGGTGCATATGTTACAGTAAAACATTGAGATAATTAAACAGTGAAAACAACATAAGAAACTAAAGGTAAAACAGAAGGCGAGGCCGGAACCGGTTAACGCATTGTATGCGTGTTGGCTACTATTTTTACAGTTCAGGTCGGTTCTCTCCGGTGTTCTCTATTCCTGGGGATGAATGGAGTCGTTCTGTCAGGGTCCCAGGTGTGCGAAGATGTGGGGTTTTCCTGTGCTGCGGATCCGGCATGAATCCCTACTGCGCGTAGGAACTGTTCTGCCTCCTGTAGTGAGGATAGGTTGTGTGCGGTACCGTTTTTGGTAACAGTCAGAGTCCTTGGTAGAGTCCATTTGTACTCAATTTTAGCTTCACGCAGACTTCTTGTCACTCGTGCCAGGGACCTGCGCCACAACAGCGTGTTTCTTGTTAAGTCCTGATAGAAGGTAATGTGGGATGATTCAAATGCAAGTGGTGTCCTTCCTCGGACTGCTGTTAGAATCTTGATTTTGTCTGCTACTGAGTGACACCGGATGATGACATCTTGTGGAGCTGCGGCTGGAGCTTGTCTTGCTTTTTTGATCCTAAAGAAGCCATCTAGTGTGAATTTTTTGGCTTGGGCGTGCGGTAGGAGCGTGGCTATGAGACGTCTGAGGTAGTGGGTTAGTTCTGTGGAGTCCACGCTATCCGGTATCCCCCTCAGTTTTAAGTTAGTGCGTCTGTTGCGGTCCTCTGCTAGGTCCATTCTCGTAGTGAGGTTGGATTGGGATGTCTGCATGAGTATTATTTGTTCTTTTAGCCCCTGTACCTCTTGTTTCAAGTCAAGGGTGTCCTCTTCAGTGGCTTGAGTGCGTGTAATTATTGCCTGCATTTCGGTCCTTAGCAAGTCCATATCTGCTGCGTGCATTTGTCTCATTTCTTTCAGCAGGTCGGCTATGTCTTGTTTGGTAGCCGGTGTGAGGTTAGTACTGTTAGTTTGTGGATCCCTTATTGGATGAGCGGTTAATAGTTCTTGTTCGGCTCCGGATTGCTCTCCTTCATCTTGGGAGGCAGTTGTGCGATCTGGCGAGGCCGCCATCTTGGGCGCCATTGGTCTTTGCAGCAGGTCGCCTATGTCCTGTGTGGTCCTGCTTGTATTCTGTGTGGGTCTCTGGGATTTTCTGCCCATGTTGTGGTCGTTAGTTTATTTTATTTTTTTACTCCCCAATATAATCTCCTGTTTCTGGTTAAAGCTTGTGAATGTGTTTCTTATTTGTTTTCTGTTGTATTCCTATATTCAAACTGTACAGCTCTTTAGAATATATTGGTGCTACATAAATGCAAATACCTACAATAGATTAGGTAAGACAAACAAAAATATTATCAATGTCTACTGATCGTTTTCACTATATAATTTCTTGTAAGAAAAAACAAACAAACCACACTTGCATGTTTCGTTGTATTTGTTATATTGAGGTTCCATTATCTGCACGAGGTGAGTGGAACAGAAGTGAAAAGGATTTACAGGAACATGCAATATTTGGTATGTTCCTTTTAACCCCTTAAAGGATCACTATAGTGTCAGGAAAACAAAGCGGTGGGTACTAAAAAAGACTGGACATACACCATTTGCAATACCTTGGGTTGTCTACTTTTGCAAATGGTATGCCATCATGAGGGTAAATCTCATTCCTGGGTTATAATACGGTCTCAAAGGCAACATAACCAATCTGGCAAATAAAAAAAAAAAAGAAATTCAAGCCTTATATTTGACTCAGTAAGTTTTGAAAACACCATAAAACCTGTACATGGGGGTACTGTTATACTCGGGAGACTTCGATGAATATTAGTGTTTCAAAATAATAAAACGTATCACAACAATTATATCGTCCGTAAAAGTACAGTGTGTGTGTGAAAAATGCATTTTTACTGACAATATCATCGTTGTGATATGTTTTACTGTTTTTTTTAACACAAATATTTGTGTTTAGCGAAGTCTCCTGAGTAAAACAGTTCCTCCCATGTACAGGTTTTATGGTGTCCTGGAAAGTTACAGGGTTACATATAGGGCTTGCAAGCCAAATTCTCTGGACTTTCTGCCTGGGTTGTCGGGTAGGTCCCTCAGATTGTAATTAATAAAATGACTTAATTATGTAAAAATATTATATAACTATATTTGTGTGTGTGTATATATATTTAAAACATTGCTAAACACAAATACACACACCAGTCAAACCATAAGACTTGCTTTTGCCACAGAAATCTCACTTTAACAGTGCTCTCACTACTGCAAGGGATTCTGGGTAGGTGTATGCAAATGAGCTCAACAAAGAACCACATTTTTTCCTCATAATTCCACTTTGTACATGGTTTCCTTGGAGTATGTGTCTGCTGTATACAACTGCTTTGAAACAACTCAGAAAGAGGAGCAAAGCCAGAGAACCACTCATGGACAGCTGTTTTGTTGTTAATGCAACTCAAGTAACGCCAAGCCTCCATTGAAAGCCAGTAACCAACCTCATGCTGATGAGTTGCATTAACAACGAAACAGCTGTCCATGTTCACTGGCTTTGCTCCTTTTCCTCCTCTTCCTCCGCGATCACATGGCCAGAGGTGGGGCCAGATCACGGCGAGGAAGTCTGCCTTTCCCTGGCAGACCCCAGGATCACAACCGCCGGCATGGGATCGGCGGGAACCCGATAAGTATGAAGGACGGTGGGGAAGTTCTATGCCACGTGCCGGAGTCTAGTACTACACCAAAAAGGATGGCAAAGAACGCCTGCCGTCCTTAAGGGGTTTATGTTACCCAAAGGTAGGGAGGCTGAGTGGATTTCAATTAAAACAAAAATGTGTGTGTGAGCCTGTCAGCGTGAGTGTGTGTGTGGTGAGAGAGCCTGTCAGAGTTTGTGCATGCGAGCCTGTTGTCAGCGTAAGAGTGTGTCAAGAGGGTGTGTTTGAACCTGTCAAGAGTGTGTGTGAGAGCCTGTCAAGAGAGTGTGTGTGAGAGCCTGTCAAGAGTGTGTGTGAGAGCCTGTCAAGAGTGTGTGTGAGAGCCTGTCAAGAGTGTGTGTGAGAGCCTGTCAAGAGTATGTGTGAGAGCCTGTCAAGAGAGTATGTGTGAGAGCCTGTCAAGAGAGTATGTGTGTGAGAGCCTGTCAAGAGAGTATGTGTGTGAGAGCCTGTCAAGAGAGTATGTGTGTGAGAGCCTGTCAAGAGAGTATGTGTGTGAGAGCCTGTCAAGAGAGTATCTGTGTGAGAGCCTGTCAAGAGAGTATCTGTGTGAGAGCCTGTCAAGAGAGTATGTGTGTGAGAGCCTGTCAAGAGAGTATGTGTGTGAGAGCCTGTCAAGAGAGTATGTGTGTGTGTGTGTGGGTGAGCGAACCTGTCAGAGTATGTGTGTGTGTGTGAGAGCCTGTCAAGAGTGTGTGTGTGACTGTCAAGAGATTCGTGTGCAATAGCCTCCCAAAAGTTTTGACATGGCTGGTACCACCTCCATGGCTGAGATTATCAAGGTTTATGATCTCAGCTAAGCCAATGCTTTCCCTTAGGAAAGCATTGGGAGGATTTTGTGCGTAGCAAATGTACCAATCCGCATCTCCTCATAGAGATGCATTAAATTAATGAATCTCTATGAGGAACATTCAGAGCCTCCATGCAGAGTGACCCAGGACTCTCTAGTGGCCTTCTGAATGACTGTCACTAGAGGTGTTACTAAGCAGCAATGTAAACTCTGCCTTTTTGCAGAAGATTGATTTAGTGCATCTCTACGTGTAGATGCTGATTTGTGCAGCGAGGCGTTTTGCCACACATGTGCAATAGCCTCCCAAAAGCATTGGATTGGTTGGGATAATCAAGTTGGATGATCTCAGCCATGGAGGTGGAGCCAGCTGCCAGTGTAACTGGTGCAGTGTGAGAGAAAAGGTGAGCAAAATTGCCTTCTTACTGGGAGCAGAGTGGGACAGTCACCTAAAGAGTCAGGATTATATTGTCAGGAATACATGTTTGACAAACTGGGCCCATTTCTGTTTATTCACGGATATCAGCGCCCTCTTCAAATGCATTCTCCCCTAATACAATAGTTCTTAAAACCAGCTAATACATCCTGTACTTGCATGCAATCAATGAAATGCTTCTTTAGCTGATCATTTCAATGGTTAATTAACAGCCCTCCAATTAAGAGAATGTGTCACTGTTTATATGTGGGTGTGCTTAAAGGGACACTATAGAGTTAGGAATGGAAACATCTATTCTCAATGCTATAGTTTTTATATAACTGTACACATAACTGTACACATGATCCCCCTGCTGTGTGAAGGCTTGAACAATGAGATTTTACACTTATATATTAGGCATAACACTAAATCCTGTGTACAATGACTATAATATTCAACTCCAACATATAAAAGTACCATTGTCATAGCCAAAGTTTACGCTCACCTACCTAAGTCAATCACTCTGACTGCAACAGGGATATTCTTAGGGTTAGAGGTTTTGTATTTGAGCAGAAAGCCAAAGAGAAATAGGACTCATAGGTTAGCATTACAGTTGGCAAGTGAGCTTACACCTTAAGGTCACTATACTAAATCCCTTCTGTGTAAAAGTGTGCATACAAATAGAATGAAAGGAATTTTTTTTTACTTTGCATAGTTTTGATATGCTCAGTTTTGCTCTATAAACCCAAACTTTTTCACCCATCTTTTCATCAACATCTTTTTTTCTCGTCTAAAACAAATGCTGTACATGTTTTTAAAACTTGGGTTGCTGTAAGTTGCCGGTGATCTGTAGGCTTACACTTGGAGAAGGCGGACAATTGAACGACAAACTCCAAAAACCTTGCTGTACTGATAAGGCCCTGGTTATGGAATATGTTTGGCTCTGCTATAGAAAATGTAGTTAACATTATTGGCTTGCTATGATTGGTTTGGCAGGGGTCATTCTACTATGGATGTGACAAGTTCCAAATGTATTACTAGAATTTTGTTTGAACGTTTTAAAATGTGTCCTTTCCAGTTATAAAAGCTTGGATCGTTAAAAAATAAAATAATAATAATAATTTACTACAGCAAAATTCTTTGGCTCAAGTGTGATCTAATTTTGAAAGTTAGCAGCTTTGAATTTCCAAAAGGGAACATAGCTTGAGGCATTCTGTACATATGACTGGAATAAGTGAGCTCTTGCAAATATGTAGACTAGGTGGGCGGTGGTACTCACGCAGGTGTGCCGGCAGCCTGACTGCATCCTCTTCCATCCTGTAAGCTCGTGCCCCAGGTGCATGGAGAAGGGAGGGTGAGGACGTGTTGCAGTTTTGCCCAGGGCTTTCTGGGGGTGAACAAGAAATCTGCTCCTGCTGGAACATGAAAAAGAAAGACAGAAACAAAGTGAGGGTTAAAACAGAAGGTTTTTTTTTTCTTTCTAGTTTTTATGGATTGCCTGACCGCAGTGGATTAAAAAGAAGTTAACAGTAATTTCCAAAGAAACGGTTGTGTCATACAAACCCACACATATCCATAATGTGGAGGTAGAGAGGAAGGGAGTATAAATAATGGTGAAGTATGAATTATGGATAAATAATGTCATCCTCATGTTCAGAAAATATGATAATAAACTACAAAACTGAAGGTGAAGTGGTATATGAACATTTTCGGAACCCTGAGATGGTATTATTTGATAATGGACTTTTCAAGGTTATGCATCTTTTACACTGCAAGACTTTTTTCAAACAGAAACAAAAACAAAAAAACACACAAACTTTTTGCACACTGGAACATGCCCAAGATTGGTTTGTGGTACACTCCTAAGCAACAGCTGCAGTTTACTCTTTGGCCCTTTCCCTTTCACTGATATGCCAGGTGAGTAGCTAGGGAGACAGAATTGTGCTGTCTTCCCAGGTCTTCTACAGATATATCAGTATGGATAGAAGGAACTAATTATTTGCGGTTGTTGCAAAAATCAGATGGGCTTTAGAGCCATCCATAAACCACTTTGCTTTGCCTTCAGACTTTTTATTTTCCCACAATGCATGGTTCATAGTTGCGTATCCTTGATACACACATACATGATACAAACATAGAGAAGCAAATATGGATTAAAAAATGTTAAAGTCAACATTTGCATATGAAAAATAGGCCAATGTCGTTCTTAAATTGCACTGATAATACTACACTCTAACATCACAACTGTCTTCTTAAAATGTTACAGGCTAGACTATACATACAACTTTATTTTTGTCTAGTACAATGAATTGATGGCGGATTAGTAATTTTGCCTTTTTTTTGGATTTGCCAGTGGTTCCTCATTTCCCCCAGAAATAAAGTTTCATGACTTGGGCTCAAAATCGCAACCCTTCGTCAAAAGGAATGCTGACAAACCCACTTAATCGGCATGGGAATTGAGATATTCAGCAAAACGCAAAAAAAAGAAAGGAAGCTAATTTGCCTAAAATGTCCTTTCTGTGTCTTATTAGAAGAGAGGGATGATGTAAGAAGCATAGTTTTATAAGTACAGATATATACTCAGTGAGCCATACACAGTTTGAAATTCTACATTAAAAATCATCTCAAACAAGACAGTTTCTCTTTAGATTAGTCAATGGACTATAAAGTGGACTATTACTGATACATTTTTTAAAAATTATTATTTAAATTTACAACAGCCTCTTTATAACCTACAATATTGAGGTTATATATGTTGGTGTTTTATAAAGAAGAACAACCTCATGTTTTATCTAAGTAGATGGTAAATTGTTTTTATTTAAAAGATGGAACTAAGTTTGTTTTTCATGTCTCCACACAGTAATCTGGTAAAACTGAGGAAGTAGAGAGTTCACTGCCAAACAACATTAAGCATCTAGGAAATCAGATTTTGCTTTTAAAACTGACTAGAGCATACAGACACCTCCACAAAAAGCTTAACTTTGATCAACAGTTCATAAAAAAAAAAAAGTATAAATGGTGTGAAATTATTGTTTTGATCATTTAAATCAAGCATGTCAAACTCGTGGCCCACAAGGACCGTCTTTGCGGCCCGCAAGTACATGCTGGTGTTATAGCAGAGAGCAGAGTAGGCACCTGCTTTCCCCATATTGCAGGTGCCTACTCTACTAACATTTACTCGGTCGGGGAGGAAGCAGGACGCTGGCGGCAGCGAGGGAGCTCAGCCTTCCTGCTCCTCACTGCTCCCTCTCACCGTCTGAAGTGAAGCCGGGCGCCGGAATATGACGTCATATTCCGGCACCCGGCATCACTAAACCGCACGAGGGAGCAGTGAGGAGCAGGAAAGAGATCTCAAGATAGAAGATTCCCACACCAGCTCCATAAGGTAAGGAGCAATAAAAAAAAAAAAGTATGTGTGTGTAATAATGTATAAGTGTGTGTGTGTGTGTCTGGGTCAGTGTGTGTGTCTGTCTGTAAATATGTATGTGTGTGTGTCTGTCAGTGAGAGTGTGTCTCTGTCTGTGAGTATGTGTGTGTGTCTGCGTATGTGTGTGTCTGTCAGTGAGTATGTGTGTGTCAGCAAATATGTGTGTATGTCAGTGAGTGTGTGTGTCTGTCAGTGAGTGTGTGTGTCTGTCAGTGAGTGTGTCTGTCTGTGAGTATGTGTGTGAGTCTCTGTCTGTGAGTATGTTTGTGTGTGTCTGTCTGTCAGTGAGTGTGTGTCTGCGAGCAAATGTGTGTGTGTGTCAGTGAGTGTGTCTGTCTGTGTGCGTGTCTGTCAGTGAGTATGTGTCTGTCTGTGAGTCTGTGTGTGTCTGTCTGTGAGTGTCTGTCAGTGAGTGTGTGTGTCTGTCAGTGAGTGTGTGTCTGTGTGTCTGACAGCAAATGTGTGTATGTCAGTGAGTGTGTGTGTGTGTCAGTGAGTGTGTGTGTCTGTGAGTATGTGTGTGAGTCTCTGTCTGTGAGTATGTTTGTGTGTGTCTGTCTGTCAGTGAGTGTGTGTCTGCGAGCAAACGTGTGTGTGTGTGTCAGTGAGTGTGTCTGTCTGTGTGCGTGTCTGTCAGTGAGTATGTGTCTGTGAGTCTGTGTGTCTGTCTGTGAGTGTCTGTCAGTGAGTGTGTGTGTCTGTCAGTGAGTATGTGTGTGTCTGTCTGTCAGTGAGTGTGTGTCTGTGTGTCTGACAGCAAATGTGTGTGTATGTCAGTGAGTGTGTGTGTCAGTGAGTGTGTGTGTGTCTGTCAGTGAGTGTGTCTGTCTGTGAGTGTGTCTGTCTGTGAGTATGTGTGTGAGTCTCTGTCTGTGAGTATGTGTGTGTGTCTGTCTGCCAGTGAGTGTGTGTCTGCGAGCAAATGTGTGTGTGTCAGTGAGTGTGTGTGTCTGTCTGCGTGTCTGTCAGTGTCTGTCTGTGAGTCTGTGTGTGTGTGTCTGTCTGTGAGTGTGAGTGTCTGTCAGTGAGTATGTGTCTGTCAGTGAGTATGTGTGTGTCAGTGAGTATGTGTATGTCAGTGAGTATGTGTCTGTCAGTGAATATGTGTCTGTCAGTGAATATGTGTGTGTCTGTCAGTGAATATGTGTGTGTCAGCGGGAGGATCAGATTTGGCACAGGGTGGCAGAGGGGGTGCTGTGGTTTAGTAGAGGGGGGGCTGGGATTTAATAGAGGGGGGTACTGTGGTTTAGTAGAGAGGTATGCTGGGGGAGGGGGTTTAAACTGTACTTTTTAAAATAAACCTACGTTTCTATGAAAATTTACGGTATTTTTTTTTTTTTGCGGCCCACATAAACTTAAACCTTGTTTATGTAGCCCGATCCAGACTTTGAGTTTGACATGTTTGATTTAAATGAACTCTCCAAGTATCATAACCAGTACAGGACATTTCTGATGTTCAAGTGTTGGCTGGGAATTATGTTAAAATTGCAAGTTAGGTATGTGCCTGCCCACTGAAGGTCAGAAGGGGCCTGTCTGTCTGGCTGGTCAACCGTCTTCACTACTTTGCTGCTGATGTACTTTCTGCAGGATCCTAGTCCTGTTCACAGCATAAGTGCATCTAATGATGCGCCTGAGCTGTGTTACCAAAGGACAGTTCCCTAGTGTCCCCGGATGCGGGACATCAGTGAACTAAAGCGGGGCAGGGCCCCAAAATCGTGTCTGTATTGCTGAAATTGGGACAGTTGTGGGACCTGTGTAAATAAAATTAGGCATGAGAATTTATGATGACAAAATGTAAAAGTCACAAGTTAAAGTTAAACTTTGAGTTAACGTTAATTCGGATCAGAGCCTGCATATTAAAGGAACCTTCTAGCATTAGGAATACACACATACATTGGAGAATGTATCCTCCATTATTTAAAAGGACCAATATAGTGCCAGGAAAACAAACTCGTTTTCCTGGTGCTATCAGGTCATTAGGTCCCCCCCCACCCTCAGGGCCCGCTCCCACTGAGCTGTAGGCGTTAAAACCCCTTCAGCCATTTACCTTTATACAGCACCGGGCTCCCTCAGCGCTGGTGACCTCTCCTTCCCCTGCCAACGTCAGATCTGAATGCGCGGCAAGAGCGCGCATTCAAACCGCCCATAGGAAAGCATTACTCAATGCTTTCCTATGGACGTCCAGCGTCTTCTCACTGTGGTTTTCACAGGGAAAATCGCGGAAGCGCCTCTAGCGTTTCTCTGAAACTGCTATGTTTTCAGCTGCAGGGTTAAAACTAGAGGGACCTGGCACCCAGACCACTTCATTGAGCTGAAGTGGTCTGGGTGCCTATAGTGGTCCATTAAGTTATCGGATTTATCCAAAATGAAAGCAGTAAATAAGTATACTTGCCTTTAGTCCCCTGGTGCGATGGCCTTGCTGCAGCCACCCCTCCTTAGCTGAGTGATATCATCATTGCGGATAATCTCAGTCAATCGCTACGATGCATCAATCAGCATCTCCTCATAGAGATGCTTTGACTCAATGCATTACTATGCAAAGCAAAGATTGCAGTAACATACAGGAAGTGCCTCTAATGACTTTCCGAGTGAAAGCTACTAGAGGTAGTGTTATGTAGCACTGCCCTTTTTTTTTGCCCTCAGAAAATGCAGTTTTCACAATGCTGTGGCTGCAAGGACAGTCTCTTTACTCCAGAACCACTAACCTGTAGTGTTTTTTTGTGACTAGTGTCCTTTTAATGACATTTAGGATTAAAATACAGCTAGGTCTGGAAATGTGTTATTGCATCAGTTTTGTGAAATTCAATTGTGTGTGTCAGACGTGTGTGTAAAATAGGAAACTGCATCAAAAAGTTTTCGATATTATTCAAAACATTACTTATACATTAAACAAACTATTAATGGACAGCAAGCACCATTCTTCACCCCCACCCGTTGTTAAAGTGATTACCAACTTGCAGATACCGACTAGCACCCAATGTACTCTGAATAATTGGGTTCAGTAGTGAAACTACAATGTCAACTGTATGCAAGTCATCTGACAAACTAACCGTGCCTGTAAAACGAGACGAGCGAGGGACCATGTGAGCTTTCACATAGTACCACAGAATTAATAGAATTAACATGCTATTTTGACTAATTTGCCCATTTAACACTATTTTTTCAGCTAAATATGTGCTGGCCTGTTCCTATGATGAGGTTTCGCTGATCCTACCAGATAAGTAGCATTTCTCTAATTAAAGACTAATTAACCGATTAACTTGGTCTATGACTAAGCAGCATGCCAAGTATCATCTTCAAAGAAAGATCACTGGTTTAAAGTTGCCCTCCGGCCTATACTGAACAGTAATTAGCCCTCTTTATTATACAGTCAAGCAATGCTGCCTAATTAGATTGTAAGCTTTCTTGGTTATACATACTTTCTGCTCTTTTTGAAATTTCCAGATATCAAACTACAATGCTGATTCTCTCTATGACAAACACATGCTATGTGCAAAGGAACTGCCTGACAAATACAATTTTATAAAAATAAAGCAATCAATCAATGATTAACATTTACAATCCCAGAGGTGTGTTACTTTGGATTCCGTAACAGCCAGTAATCCACTCTTCTTGCTAAAGTGATACTTTGTATGTTATATTCTCTTAATTTTCAAATGGCAGGAAAAAAGTATATGCGACCTCAGGCACAATAAAGGCTGCAGACTACAACTATTATGGTAAGTCCTTCAGTAGGTAGCTAAAATATACCACAGTACGAGTGTCCAACATTGGCTGTCTTGCTGTTGTGGACTTCATTTTCCATAATGGAGGAAAAAATAAAACAAAAGTAAAAATAAATAAACAACTGGAAGGCCAATGTTAAACACCTGGTACTTTTATATAGTGTACGTTTAATAAAATTCTGCAACTGTAACATACTATTTCTTTCATAAGCTTATTGTTCTTTCCATTCCGCCTTTCTTGCCCCCTGCCCATCTAGTTTATCCATCATCAATCATAAAATTATTTCATTTCTAACCCGCTTCTCTCCTGGCATTTTAATAACACAGCAGCTGCCAAAGTTTCTTTATATAGACTCCCGTGTGTGCATGCCCTTCCATACTCTGATTTTTTTTTTTTTTTTTTTAACACACACCCCCCTATTTAATCAAAGCCTTAACCCTGCGACAACCAAGGATGAGAAACAGAAAGCTAAAAATGACTTGCATTAACTGGTATTTGCAGAGTTAACCATTTATAATCCTCTCCATTTATTCTAACACTTGTTACTTTGCCAACAGTTCCCTCTCTCCCCCCCATCCCCGTACCTCTCATTTATTATTTCACAAGTGGTTTCTGTTGCTTTTTTCCTTACCCATTTCCTCCACCCTCTTCTGCTTCTCTCCATGTCCTTTATCTTTCTTTCTTGTAACCCAACCGCGTCCTCTTTCCTTGACCCTCCCACCTCCCTCTCACCCTGCCGTGACTATCATCCTACTTCTGTCTAGTTTACTTTCCCTTCCTAGTTTCTTTTTCTCATTCTTCCTCAAAGGTCACTCCCCCTTTACATCTTGCTCGTTGCTTTTTCTTATTTGCCCATTATTCATAAGACAGTAACCCTTAACTGTCAAAGGAGCCACCATTTCAAAGTAAAGCACTCAGGGCCTTGTTGAGCATGAATGGGTTAAAGGTCTTCCATCTTATTTGGGAGAGTCTACATCTCTCAGCCACTGGATCAGATCCAATGAGAAACGGAAGTCAACAAACTGACCAAACTGGTTGAACGAACCATGAGTCAACATGGAAATGCCCAGATCTAGCTTTCTGAGCTGATCACATGGGAGTCTCTATTTACATTCAAGCTTACAATTCTAAGCCTGTTCTTGCAGCTTCATCAGCCATAGTGGTTCTTATCCTTTTTTTTTTTTTTTTGACAGTGACACAAATTCTGTACATGGCATTATTTTGGTGATCCATTCTTAAATTTGTAAAATTAGCACATCCTCGCCAGCACTAAATATATCTATAGTGACATAAATTCCACAATAAATTCTGGTCTACTTTCTTTAGACTCCCAGTGTCAAAGTGAGCATCAATTGTCCTAGGAAAATCAGATACGTTACAAAAAGAACACTTTATTTTGGTCACTGGGCTATAGTTTCATGAATAGAACTGTTCCAATTAATAGGGTCTGGTGAAAATCGCACACCAGTTTGGGGTCCTGACCCAAAGGTTAGCACTTTATAAACAACAGTAACTAAATTACAAAATACTTATTTATTTAGGGCACAAACATATACCCCATCTCAAGAACGATGACAGTTATACAAAAAGGTACTCAAGAACGATGACAGTTATACATCTAGTCTGCCCAATTTTCTAAATACTTTTATTAGTCCCTGGCCTTATCTTATAGTTAGGATAGCCTTATGCCTATCACACGCATGCTTAAACTCCTTTACTGAATCGTCATGTTCTACTGTATATAAAGTGGATATATGCTATTGGAAATATCTTCAAAATAGCTTTTATAAGAAATGCTAACACAATGTAGTTTTCTGCTTTACGGAATAAAGCAATAATTTTTTTCTTTCCAAGTGACATGCACTTTAAATACAGGTGCTTGAAATATGCTTTAGGCTCACCAGTAAAATTCCCTGGACAAACCAGTTTTTTTTTTGTTAATCTTACACAATGCTGTACTATGAAACTTCATTTCTTTGTCTCAAATAAAAAATATATATATATTTTAGATTAGAAGTTCACTTTCTTCAAAAGTACTCAGGTCCTTTAAGTTGACATTTACGTAAAGGTGGTGGTGGGAGGGGGCAATAACTGCTGATTAAGCATCACAAAAAGAGGTAAGCAAAGGGTTTATTTAGAAGCAATTCTGGGACATGTGTCAAATGTGAAGCAATTTCCATGGAAAGAAAGGAAGTGTTCCTTTGGAGTGTTCTACTTTTAGAACTTTGACCCAGAACTTTTGTATTGGTAGATCTCAAACAGGGGAAATACACTTAGATCCTTTTTACACCATGATCTGGACTTAATGTAAAGAACCCCATGCAGATTAACAGACAGACACCTTATACTATGCAGAGAATATCATTTACCCCTTAATGACCACATGACTGTCTATTCTGTCATGCTGTGCAGGGCATTAACGCTCATTGACAGCATAGACCGTCATGCATTAAAAGTATCAGCTGAGTAAAATCTCTGCTGGTGCCAAAGAACACCAGATATCACTGCATACTTAAAAGTCCCCTCACTGCTGCACATAGGCTTTTAAAATGCATTTAAATATTGCAGCTCAACAATTGCACTTAGCTGTGGTAATTCTAAGCTTCCCCCAGCTTAAAACTAGCAGCCCCAAGTATCCTTTGATACCGGAGGGTTCCTTCTGTCATCTGAGGCCACAGTTAGTGGAATCCGACTGACAGATAAGCTAGGTGCAGTGCTGAAAGTGAGAGCTGCGCATGGCCAGTTAAAACCCTTTAAATCGGAGGGGGCGTGGCCTGACCGCGATGCAGAGCGGACGCTTGTGAGCTGAGCTCCCGCTGAACCGAGGCCTCATAGCCGACAGAAGCAATTTCCACGAGCACCAGCTACCCCGAGACCGCACCGGCAGCTGCGGCATGGATAAGAGGACCCCGCGGAAACCCCATAAACGGACGTCGGAGACGGGCGCTTCAGTGGCGGACCTATTTGCAGTTTCCCGCGCAAACCAGCCTGCAAGGCAAGATGGCGGCCGCCCTAGCCCCAGGACCTCCCCAGTGCGCGAGCACCCGGAGCCCCCCCGGGGGCACGGTTTACCGGCCGAAGAGACTTCCCAGATCTTGGCACAGCTGCTGGAGGTCAAGGCATACCTGGCAGGGGAGATAAGCAGATCCGCGGCGGAGGTGAACGCAGAGATCGCGGCACTTGGACACCGCACGGCAGCCCTGGAACACAGGCAAGAGGCAACAGTCCTGGCACACAATGAGGTAACATGTAGGGTGAATAGCCTCACAGCCAGGTTGATAGCAGCAGAGACAGCCCTGGAAGACTTGGCTAATCGTTCCCGCCGAAACAACATCAGGCTGCGAGGCCTGCCAGAAAAAGAGGGGGAGGGGGACCTGACAGACACGGTCATGGCGATCCTAAAACCCCTAGCACCAAACATTCCAGCCCAACTGTGGCATTTGGACCGGATTCACAGGGCCCTGGGAACCAGGAAGGTAGATGCCAAACAGCCGAGAGATATAATCATGCGCTTCCAACATTTCCAAAACGAAAGAAACTATAATGAAGAACAGTAGAGACGGCCCTATCAAGTATAAAGGGAACACTTTACTACTGTTCCAGGACCTAGCCCCAATGACACTCCAGAGACGCAGAGAATGGCGACCGATCACCGACATCCTCAGAACCCACAACATAAAATATGCATGGGGCCATCCTTTTACGCTTATGGCGTTCAAGAATGGCAGACCAAAGATCCTGCCACCTGATGGGGACGCAGTGGCTTTTCTCCAGGCGCTAGACCTCCAGGCTCCGCCAGACCTGCAATGGCGCACGGCGACTCCGACAGACCTGCAACTGCTACCCAGAGAATGGCACACAGCGGGGGAAAGAAGACACACACCGTAGAACGGACGCACACCAGGCACCCGCACCCGGATCGCCTCGCCCAGATGGACATCCCCGGGAGGGTGAGATGACAAGGGACATGAGGGACGGGTACTGACTCGCCCCCGCCCCATGGTTTTGATACCACCAACGCCCACAACCAAAGCCCACTACGGGGGGTTTCCCTATCCTTGGGTACACACAAAAAAAAAAAAGACCTTTTTTTCCAGAACACTTTTGGGAGGGGGAAGTTGGACTCATCTACAAAGAGGACATGAAGCCGCTTGCGTGGCGGTGGGGGTGAGGGTGCTGCTGGGGGGGGGGGGGGGGGAAACCAGATTTTTATGTTGTAAGATTGACATTAGTGACTCTAACCCATACTGGTTTATCAGTTCAATCGTTTTTTGTATATATGTTTGTGTTTATGATATGGTTAACAACCTCTCTTTTTCCTCCCTACCTTCCCCTCTCCCCCCCCGTGGTGGCCGGAGCGACCCGAAAGCGGTATATGAAACAACAGGGGTACGAGGTCCCCCAAAGGACAACCCCCAAGGCTGGCCAGAGGACATCACCAGTAAGTTAGCCCACACGCTTACACTTAAGACACCACCATGTCTACACACATACACTCCCTAAATGTTAAGGGACTAAATGCCCCCAAAAAGCGTAGACTGTTATATAGAGAACTTAAGAGACTAGGCCCAGATGTGGCCTTTTTACAAGAAACCCACCTGCCCAAAACCCTGGGCATAACTCTCAAGGATCACATTTATAGCACAGGCTATGAGGCTAGGTCACACTCCAAACGCAACGGTGTAGCGATACTAATACATAAACGATGCCCACTGCGAGTCACGGGGGTCCACACAGACACGGACGGCAGATACCTTATCCTGACAGGGACGCTATTTGCTCACACCATCCATCTCATAAACATTTATGCTCCCACAGACCCTTCTAGGGATTTCTGGGACAAATTGGCTGACAAATTAAAAACCCTGCCTCATGGTATGCTTATCATGGGGGGCGATTTTAACGCCGCCCCATGCCCGGCTATAGACAGAGGCAACATAAGAGGTTTACCACGCTCACACGGCAGGGGGAGGCCAGACAAACTGATCCACGACTTCCTCTACGGGTCTGATAGATGTGTGGAGGGCCCACCATCCGGGAGAAGCAGACTATACGTTCTACTCTGCGCCACATGACTCGTACTCCCGTATTGACTACTTTTTAGTAAACGATCACGCCATTCCAAAGATCACGAAGTCCACAATAGGTTCTATCACATGGTCAGACCATGCAGACATCAGCTTAGAATTAGGAAACCTCTGCACCACGACTCCGTGGAATTGGAAGCTCAATGCTTCCCTATTGCAGGACCCTACTATTAGAGAGACTATTCGCACAGAGATAGTAGAATATTTCCAACTCAACTCCTCCCAAGAGCTAACTCCCGCCACGGTATGGGCTGCTCACAAAGCGGTTATCAGAGGCACACTAATAAGGGAAGCCACCAGGAAAAAGAAACTGAAAACACAACGCCTAAAGTCCCTCCTACGTGACTTACACACACAAGAGCAGAGACATAAAACCAACCCTACCCCAGATGGGCTTCTGGCCCTACAGACTACCCGACGTCATATAAAGGAGACTTTAGTGGCCGACGTAGCGAAGGCTATGCTCTGGTCTAAGAGAACATATTATGAACAGGCTAACAAAATGCACACGTTTCTGGCCCGCACCCTACGCCCACGCCCACGCCCACGCCGAACACATATCACCACACTCAGGGATCGCACAGGTCTGATCAAAACGGCACCGGCAGACATAGCTCGGATATTCAAAGAGTTTTACACTACCCTATACAATCACACACCTACCGAGGCTGACAAAACACCACACCTACGAGACGAGATAAGACAATACCTGGGCAAAATTGACCTCCCGAAGCTGACCCCTATAGCAATAGAGTCCTTAGGAGACGAGGTCACAGCAGACGAAATAGATAGAGCGATATCACGCCTCAAAGGGCATAAGGCCCCGGGCCCCGACGGCTATGTGGGCAGCTATTATAAAACATACCGAGAAGAACTGACACCGCACTTACTAAAACTATTTGATGCAGGGTGGACGACCAGACCCAGACATGTCCACGGCCCATATCATACAATTACCTAAACCCGGAAAAGACGCAACATACCCTGAAAATTACAGACCCATATCATTGATCAACCAAGACGTTAAAATACTAGCCAAAATACTAGCGGATAGACTGTCTCCACACCTAACACACCTAGTCCATGCAGATCAGGTGGGTTTCGTCCCTGGAAACACCAGACGCAACATTGACTTAATCTGGACGCAGACGATCACGCACACACCAACGCTCATTCTATCTCTCGACGCGGAAAAGGCGTTCGATAGGGTAAACTGGACATACCTGTTCGAACTCCTTCGACATTTCCACTTCCCCGAGCAGTACATAACCACGATCCAAGCCATGTACACGGATGTTAAGGCACACATTCAGATTACGGGCGCTCAGACAACCCCTTTCAACTTACACAACGGCACGCGCCAGGGTTGCCCGCTATCACCCCTCCTGTTCGTCATCACACTAGAGCCCCTACTACAGGCGATCAGATTGAACCAATTAATTCACGGAATCTCAGTGGGGGACCAAACATTCAAAGTATCAGGCTATGCGGACGACGTCCTTCTCACGCTCACAACCCCAAGGACCTCAATGTTAGCCTTAGATAAAGAATTAGCAGACTACGGAGCCTTATCGGGATATAAGAATTAGCAGACTACGGAGCCTTATCGGGATATAAGGTTAACCTGTGCAAATCTGCCGCACTCCCAATAGCAATGACAATGCACGACGCTACATACATAAGAACCCAACACCACATACCTATAACACACACTTCCATAAAATACTTGGGAATACAACTAACCGCTGACCCCTCACAACTATACAGGGCGAATTACACACCACTCCTCAACACCCTTAGTGCACACCTTGACAGATGGACCGACAAGCCCATATCCTGGATAGGACGGGTCCATACAATAAAAATGAACATCCTCCCGAGACTCCTCTTCCTTTTTCAAGCACTCCCCATACCCATAACTAAAACGGAACTAGCCCCCTTGCAGAGGTCCATAGGGGATTTTATTTGGCAACGCAAGCGCCACAGAGTAGCACGCAATGTAATTTATAGACCCAAGGAGGGGGGTGGACTAGGCCTCCCCCATCTCTATAACTACTATTTAGCGGCTCAACTGGCTCAAATAGCTATGTGGCACTCGACACCGGACGACCGCAGATGGGCGGACTTAGAATCAGGAATCATGGGAGCTGACCTGCCCCAATTTTACATGTGGCTTCCCAGGGAACACAGGGCTATCCTGCGCACCGACTGCCCTGCGATCCTCAATTCCCTTAGGATCTGGGACGCAGTGGGCCAAAAATACAAACTAACCACCTCACCCTCTCCTCTGATGCCCCTGTTGAGGAACAGAGCGTTCCCACCGGGAATGAGGGCCCGAGACTTCAGAAACATTGAGGTAGCGGGCCTACAGCGAGCGATCCACCTGTATGAAGGGAACCAAATAGTGACATTTGATAAGCTACAGGAAAGCACCAGGCTAAGGCCCCCCGACTTTTTTCGCTATATTCAAATCCGAGACTTTGCACAACACAATCTGGCCAAAACGGCAGCACAAACTGCGCCCACAGGCTTTGAACGAATGTGTCTCAATGAAAACCCCCCAAAGGGACTTATTTCATACCTATACGCACATTTATGCACAAACAGTGATTGGGGCGACTTGACCTACACCGTCCACTGGGAAACAGATCTCAAAGAGACCTTAGAGGGCACAGAGTGGAGAGAAATATGGGACGCAAACAAAGCTATTTCCACGTGTGTTACCCACCAGGAACAGGCCTATAAGACCATGCTGCGCTGGTATACCACCCCAGTAAAATTATACCGTATGCGTAAAACCCCAAACGACTTGTGTTGGAGGGGCTGCGGAACCAAAGGGATGTACATCCATATGTGGTGGGAATGCCCGAAAGCGCAGGCCTTCTGGAGGGTAGTGGGCAACCTCCTAAATGAGGTTTTTCACAGACAAGTGAAAATAGACCCACGGGTTTTTCTGCTCTCCAGAGCACTAGAAGAATGGCCCAAAAAGGAACAGAAACTCCTACACAAAATTACGCCGGCGGCCAGACTCACCATGGCGCAGACATGGCTTCAAACTACAATCCCACAGATAAACACTGTACTCCACAAAATCAAAGATATCCAGGTCATGGACCACCTTACAGCACTAGTGAGAGACACCATGACACGATACGAAAAGGTCTGGGAACCATGGTTAACAGGGAACTGGGAGAGCTATGGAAATCCCACTACAGGGCCTTCCCAAGGTACCAACACTTAACTAGACACCAACAGAGCCTCACACCGCAACGCTCCGGACCCCGCCACGGGGACCCTCACCCGTCCTCCCCTCCCCCCTCCTGCCCTACCCCTGCCTTATATACAACACCGTTGCTAGAAACGGGACCAAGATTATCAGAAACGGGTCCCCCTGCAACGAGAAAGGTTGCACATTTAATGATACGGCCTAAGGTGGGCTGAAACCAGAGCTTGACATTTGCGGTACTTACAATACCCAGTTATGGCATGTTTTATTCTCTCTTTTTTCTCTTTTTCCCTTTTAATGTATAAGGCTTACAATATCTCATAAAATGTATGTATGTATGAAAATGAACGAAAAATGACACTCCTTAGCACATTCCTCCAAACTGAACACACTCACGCAAACTGCAACGATGGTATAATCATATGTACATTAGATTACGGATTGGTTACCTATACCATGTACTACATGTGTTTCTTCATTATTGTATCGCATTGTCATGCCAAAAATAAAGAATTTAAAAAAAAAACCTTTAAATCACCTTGCGCTCAGCTATAGTGATTCTGGGCATGGCCCGGCGATGAGGCTCTGCCATCTACCCAGCACGGATCGGTTTCAGGAGCTGCAGCATGAGAGGGAGCTCACACAGTACAGAGTACTTACACAGCAATCTCTCTACTGTATGAGCTAGAAATCTCTCTGGTGATGTCAGTACTGAGGTAGGATTATGGAGTGAGATTAGGAGCAAGATTAAAAATTGGATTATTAGGATTGTGAATGGGATAAGGGTTGGATTAGGGGTAGGATTATGAATACATGTTGGGTATCATTGTACAAGATAGAAGTAGGAGAAAAAATGGTCTGAACACACGTTTAAAAAAAAAAAAAAAGTTACAAATAATTAAATATTTTGTCTAAGTTCATGATAAAATCGTTGAATGAAAAAGTGTATAAATGCTCTAGGGTAAACAGCCATAAATAGCCTGGGGGATGTACTTTGTACAAATATATACTTTTATATAGCAGTCTTGGATTCTGGGTCTACTAAGTGTTGTAATCCTAGCATGCCCAATTTTGCAAAGTTTTAGCTTTAAACCAATTGTGGTAGAATTAATACATGGTAAAACTGCCAAAATGGCCTTGATCATAAAGGTGTTTTAATAGAGCATTTTGTTACAGGTTTAATGTTGACTGATGTGAGTGGTAGGATACAAGGATATTGTAGTATTTATGCCAAGTATTTTAGAGAATGTCCTAATCAAAAATAGAAACTTGTAAATAACGAGAGATTTTATTCCAAAAAGATTAATATCCATAAATGTCATACCAAAGAGGGCACAAGTACATATGCCCATATTACAAAGATAAATGCTTAAAGGAACACTATAGTGTCAGGAATGCAAACATGTAATCCTGACACTATGGTCTTACAGGGACTCTCCAGTGCCAGGAAAATATATCGGTTTTCAGTTGCAGTGCCCCTCTCCCTCCCAGCCCCCAAACCCCTTCAGTGACTTACCTGAATCAGGCTCTGCCCACACTCCTCTGACGTCGGCAGGGGGGAGACCTAATGCGCATGTGTAGCAATGGCCATGCGCGCATTAGACTTCCGCCATAGGAAAGCATTATTTAATGCTTTCCTATGGGGTTTCTGGCGATGCTGGTGGGCCTCATGCATAGCGTGAGGATGTCCAGAGTCGTTTAAAACACTTTTCGTGTTCTAAGAACACGGAAGTCCCTCTAGCCACTAGAGGAGGACTTAACCCGGCAAGGTAATTATTTAAGTTTATAAAAACTGCAATAATTACACTTGCAGGGTTAAGGGTGGTGGGAGTTGGCACCCAGACCACTCCAATGGGCAGAAGTGGTCTGGGTGCCTGGAGTGTCCCTTTAAGTGGCTGTTTAAATGACCGGCCCCATCCAATTGCAGTAAAAAGTTGATTTTACTCACCTTTTCCCCAAGTCATGCCATTCTCACAGTGGCTGGCCCTTCCTCCATGGCTGAGATCATAAAACTTGATGATCTCAGCCCATAGGAAAGCATTTGGAGGCTAATGTGCCAATCAGCATATTTTCATAGAGATGCACTGAATCAATGCTTCTCTATGGGGAACAATCAGCATCTCCATGCAGAGCGTGGAGACACTGAGGGCCACCTCTAGTGGCCATGTGAGTGACTGTCACTCGAAGTGTTACGCCAGCAATTTACACACTTTTTTTTTTCTGAAGAGGCAGGGTATACATTAAAATGTATGCTGGGACTCACTACAGACACCAGAACAGCTACATTAAGCTGTAGTGGTTCTGGTGACTATAGTGCACCTTTAAACTTGGTAATATGGAGGGATCAACATTTTCACAACCCAGCAAAATAGAGTGGAAATTGAGAGTTGGCTGAATTTTACTTGTGGTAGCATATACCATTTGGCTACTGAGTAAATTGGAAATCAGAAGTAACATTATGTTCGAACAATGGAAACTATGAATTAAGAGATGCACCCTGAGACAATGCATTCTCAGCTACTATTGATATACTGACAGGACTGGGTGTGTTAGTTGACAAAACATTTTATATACTATTTGTGACTCGAAAGAAAGAAAGAGGGAGAGAGAGAGAGAGACAGACAGACTTTTTTTTTTTTTTTTAAGAATGAATCCCAACTGCGAGGTTATTGGGGTTTACTTGATATATTTGTTGCATAACCCAATTATTAACCAGGGTACAGACCAAATGATTCTCACTTCTGAATCATGCCTCCAGGTTACATGTCTGTTTTTTATCTACACACAAAAGACACAAACATTTAAAAAAAAAAACAAAAAAAAAAAAAACACAACAATTCATGGAGGATCCCCTGCCAAAATGAGCTCAAAATGTAAATCCAGCCCTGCATATAAAGCAGTAAGTATACCTGCAGTATCTTCCATTTATGTTTGCTAATTCAGCAGTGTTATTTTAGGATCTGTAAAATATCTTTTTATACTTTGTCTGTGGGGAAAGATGGCATTCTGAGTGTGGTAACTGAACACGTCGCCTGCTTATTGTACACAAAGACCTGTTGTCTAATCTCTTTATGTTTAGAAAGAGTTGGTCTCTGGCAATACCCATGCTGTACACAAGCGTGCTTACTATAGTTTGGCAGAGTAAATAGAATATCAGGAAAAGCAGCATCTCCATAGCTCACTAGATATACATACACTCAGTGTTCACTTTAATAAGTATTACTTTTCTAATAGTGACTAGAAGCCCGGTTTGTCCGTAGAACACTTAATTGCTTGTGGCATGGGTTCAAGAAGGTGATGAAAACATTGCTTACAGAGTCTGGTCCGTGATGACATGATAGCATAACACAGGACTGCACATTCATGCTGTGAAGACTCCATTCCAATACTGAGGTGGTCTATTGGATGGAGATCGGCTGAAACAGAAGGCCACAGGAGTACACTATATACTCACTCTATGGTATTTTAAAACACTAATTTGATATTAATGGTTTCATGTGTGCCAAGAAAAAATTACACATGCCATAACACATTGCCACCAGCCTGAACTACTGACACAAGTGAGGATGGAGCTATGGATTCATGTTGTTTATGCCAAATTCTGACCCTACCATCTGAAAATCACAGCAGAAACCAAGGTACATTAGACCGTGAGAGGTTTTACCCCAATCTTCTACTGTCCAGCGCCAATGCCACAAAGCCTCAGTTTGCTGTTCTTATCTGACCGAGGCAAATGCTGCAGTGTGGTCCTCTGTGCTGTAGCCCACCCACTTCAAATTTTAATGTGCCATCACAGATGCTCTTCTACACACGTTATAAAACATTATCTCAGGTGCTGCTGCCTTCCCTTCAGCCAGTCTGACCACTGTCTACTGGCCTCTCTCAAATGGTGTTTTTAACAACAGAAATGCAACTTGCTGTTATCTTGCTTTTTTATCATTACCAACCACTGTGCCTGGTACCAACAATCATTTTACAGTCAAGACCACTTAGACAAATTTATTTTCAATTCTGATGTTTGGTTTGAACTACGTGAACTATTTGGCAATGCCTGCAGACTTTTCTTCACCGAGTTTCTGCCACATGATAATATTTTGCATTAACACAGAGGTGTATACAGATATCAATTAAAGTGACCACTGAATCCTTCTTGTGCACTCTGTCACAGCTGTTACAGCACATATACCATAGTTCTTTTGACTGTTCCTCTGCTGTGTGTGTCAATCTAAGCAATATACCTGCTGTAGCTCATTGTAGTGGTTATAGTGTAGAGGAGTTGTTAAGTGCCACCCTATCCCTTTTTATGTCAAACTCTCTAAGCACCCAAAGTTTGAGCCCTCTGCATTTCCCCATTACAAATAGAGAGCTGTCCAACCTTAAATGGAAATAGCTTTCTGTTGGGTTGCTGGACTGCTTTAGACAGATAATGTGGAGGTGAAAGTTCTACATTATCAGAGCAGTTGCAGAAGGGCTGGGCTTTCGGAGCCATTAAAAAACCAATGTTCAAAAAACTGTTTGGAAAAAAAATGGGGTATGGTACCTAAACATTGTTTGTGCCATAACAGTGCAATAAGCTGGTGCTTAGAATGTCCTTTCAGATTCTGACTTTCATTGTTGTGATATACTCACATATTTATTTAATATATTATACACACACATTTGTTGGTTTTATGGAGCTCAGCAATTCATTTAAAGCAGCTTTAGGACTCCCCACCGCCACAAAAGTTGTTATTTCATAAAGATAAAATGCAGTAAATGCAGATAAAGTACAGCACTGACATGAGCTCCTGGGAGATGATGTTCCAGGAGCTGACAAAGTTCAACCAGACCATCATGGGGAAAAGAAAGAGACTGCAATCCTTCCCCAACAACTGCAAAGTACATAAACAAACATCCTGACCTGCATTGCAATCACTCGTGCTCTCAAAATGTTGGTTACAATGCCTTCAGATGTGAGTTTACAAAGCAATATCTAACTAGAAAAGCTACAATTTCTAGGGAAATTGTGTGAAGTGTTCTTGCCTCCACCAGTAGTCTACAACTGGAGTTGGCGGAGTAACTGTAAACCATACATTTATAAAAACATTAGTAGGTGTTCAAAAGGCCCTGTCTATGACATCACTTGCTGCTGCAGCCTGACACAGGTCAGAGTATTTTGGCGGTTGCCATCTTCAAACGGTCGTATTTTAAAAACTATAAATCCTACAGCGAAGAGCTTTATATTGTGAGAATCACAAGACCCAGACCTACATTTTGATGCATAGTATGTCTCTGAAGTATTAAGAATAAAGGCACAGTTGCAGTTTAGAAATTGCACTTCAAATTTGAGCTTTGTAGAGTGAAGTTTCAATGAATGTCAATGGACGGCATTAGTTGCAAACAAATGATTATATTGTGAAAACTATCAGGACTATGGCTTAGCCGTTGACATGTTTAGTGGCAGGAGGGATAGCTGAACGTTTTGATATAAGATTTGTGTAGGTGGGCCTGCAAATAAGGGAGTGGTGGCAGTTTAGAAATCATGTCCTGATTTTTCAGCTTTTGCCAGCTCCCACTCTAGCTTTGCCATTCATTCCTATGGGACAAATTGCGCCACAAGAACGACGATATTCTGTGAACCATTTGGCGAAACGTTCCACAAAGTAATAGCAATCCGATCGGGAACAATCTGCACGTTTTGGTAAAATTTTTGTCTATGTAGTGTAAAAACTGTGGGAGGAGTTAGGGTGGCAAATTTTGCTATAATAATAAGAATAATAACTAGAAAAGCTACAATTTCTGGGGAAATTGTGTGAAGTGTTCTTGCCTCCACCAGTAGTCTACAACTGGAGTGGGCGACGTAACTGTTATCATTTATATAACACATTTAATTGCAACGTTGTTGCACAGTTACATTAAACCATACATTTATAAAACATTAGCAGGTGTTCAAAAGGCCCTGTCTATGACATCACTTGCTGCTGCAGCCTGACACAGGTCAGAGTATTTTGGCGGTTGCCATCTTCAAACGGTCGTATTTTAAAAACTATAAATCCTACAGCGAAGAGCTTTATATTGTGAGAATCACAAGACCCAGACCTACATTTCGATGCATAGTATGTCTCTGAAGTATTAAAAATGAAGGCACAGTCGCAGTTTAGAAATTGCACTTCAAATTTGAGCTTTGCAGAGTGAAGTTTCAATGAATGTCAATGGACGGCGTTGGTTGCAAACAAATGGTCATATTGTGAAAACTATCAGGACTACGGCTTAGCCGTTGACATGTTTAGTGGCAGCAGGGATAGCTGAACGTTTTGATATAAGATTTGTGTAGGTGGGCCGTAAAAAGGGAGTGGTGGCAACATGTCCTGATTTTTCAGCTTTGCAGCTCCCACTCTAGCTTTGCCATTCATTTTCGCTCACATTAAAACGACGATATTCCGTGAACCATTCGGCGAACGCCTACAAAAGTAATAGCAATCCGATCGAATCTGCACGTTTTGGTAAATTTTTGTCTATGTAGTGTAAAAACTGTGGGAGGAGTTAGGGTAAATTTGGCTATAATAAGAATAATATATATGTGAGATAACAATAAGTGTTCTTGCAAGAACACTTAATAATAATATATATGTGAGATAAACATTAAGTGGTCTTGCTATGGTTTAATGTAACTGTGCAACAACGTTGCAATTAAATGTGTTATATAAATGATAACAGTTACGTCGCCCACTCCAGTTGTAGACTACTGGTGGAGGCAAGAACACTTCACACAATTTCCCCAGAAATTGTAGCTTTTCTAGTTATTATTAAGTGTTCTTGCATAGCAAGACCACTTAATGTTATCTCACCTATATATTATTATTATTATTATTATAGCAAAATTTGCCACCCTAACTCCTCCCACAGTTTTTACACTACATAGACAAAAATCTACCAAAACGTGCAGATTGTTCCCGATCGGATTGCTATTACTTTGTGGAACGTTTCACCGAATGGTTCACGGAATATCGTCGTTTTTGTGGCGAAATTTGTCCCATAGGAATGAATGGCAAAGCTAGAGTGGGAGCTGGCAAAAGCTGAAAAATCAGGACATGATTTCTAAACTGCCGCCACTCCCTCATTTTCAGGCCCACCTACACAAATCTTATATCAAAACGTTCTATCATCATAGCACCGGGAAAATAAATTGCGGCTCTCTTGTGTGCCAGTCACAGCGTCCCAGGGCGTCGCCGCACACAGTTTGGGACCCGCTGGGTTAAAGTATAACATTGGCAATAGAGATAACTGCACATGTTTGAGTATATATGCAAGAGGAACATTACATTATGTATGTCAGTGTACATGAAGTATATAGCAAGTGAAAATATGATTAGAATGCCGGACAACATGCAAGGTATATGTGGTGTGTCACGTTAGCTGAGTTTCGCTTTACGTGAGTGTACATGAACATTCAGCATGTTAGGTTAGTAGTGAGCTGAGCTAATTACAATATGTGTAAAGGAGTCATTATCAGACTGGAGCAATTTAAATGGAGTCCAAGAGAAATGGGATAATTTAAAAGTTGCACTGCCAAGGGCAACAGAAAATTGCATTAGGCTTGTCAGTAAAAGCAAAAAATTCAAGAAACCACTGTGGTACTCCGCAGATGTGGCCAAAATAGTAAAAAAAAAAAAAACAAAGTTAGCATTTAGTAATTATAAAAAAAAACCAGAGTGAGGAAGACAAAATGATCTATAAGATTAGGCAGAAAGAGGCTAAGCAAGTTATAAGAGCTTCCAAATCACACACAGAAAAGAAAATAGCACAGGGGACAAAATGTTTTTTAGATACATAAATGTGAAAAGGAAAGTAAAACAAGCATTAGAGTATAAACAAAAGAAGGAAGGTATGTTGAAGAGGATAAAGGTCTAGCTGACTGCCTCAATTAATATTTTTGTTCAGTATTTACAGATGAAAATGAAGGAAAGGGACCTCAGTTAGGAAAAAGGACAAATGAGTCATTTGTTACATGTGAGTTTACAGAGGAAGAGGTTCTATTTCAAGTGTCAAAAATAAAGACAAATAAGTCAATGGGACCTGATGGAATACACCCAAAGCTATTAAAAGAGCTTAGTGGTATACTAGCAAAACCATTAACAGATTTATTTAACCAATCATTGTTAACAAGAGTAGTCCCAGAAGATTGGAAGTTAGCGAATGTTGTGCCCATTCACAAGAAAGGTAGAAGGGAGGAGTCGGGCAACTATAGGCCAGTAAGTCTTACTTCAGTAGTGGGGAAAGTGATGGAAACCATGTTAAAGGATAGGATTGTTGAACATCTAAAAACACATGGATTTCAAGATCAGAGACAACATGGGTTTACTTCAGGGAGATCATGCCAAACTAATCTTATTGATTTTTTTGAATGGGTAACTAAAATAATAGACCAGGGTGGTGCGGTAGACATTGCTTACCTAGATTCCAGTAATGCTTTTCACACTGTTGCACATAGAAGGCTTATCAATAAATTGCAATCTTTAAGTTTGGATTCCAATGTTGTTGAATGGGTAAGGCAGTGGCTGAGTGACAGGCAACAGAGGGTTGTAGTCAATGAAGTATATTCAAAGCTTGGGCTTGTCACCAGTGGGGTACCTCAGGGATCTATACTTGGACCCATTCTCTTTAATATTTTTATTAGTGATATTGCAGAAGGTCTTGATGGTAAGGTATGTCTTTTTGCTGATGACACTAAGATATGTCACAGGGTTGATGTTCCAGGAGGGATAAGCCAAATGGCAAATGATTTAGGTAAACTAAAAAAAATGAGTTGTGGCAACTGACATTTAATGTGGATAAGTGCAAGATAATGCATCTTGGACGTAAAAACCCAAGGGCAGAGTACAGAATATTTGATAGAGTCCTAACCTTAACATCTAAGGAAAAGGATTTAGGGGTGATTATTTCACCTATAAAAGGTAGGCAGACAATGTAATAGAGCAGCAGGAAATGCTAGCAGAATGCTTGGTTGAATAGGGAGAGGCATTAGCAGTAGAAAGTGGGAAGTGCTCATGCCATTGTACAGAACACTGGAGAGACCTCACTTGGAGTATTATACGCAGTACTAGAGACCGTATCTTCAGAAGGATATTGATACCATAGAGAGGGTTCAGAGAAGAGCTACTAAACTGGTTCATGGATTGCGGGATAAAACTTACCAGGAACGGTTAAAGGATCTTAACATGTATTGCTTGGAGGAAAGACGAGACGGGGGTGGGGGGGGAGTATTACTTTACTGAGAGGGTAGTTGATGCATGGAATAGCCTTCCAGCTGAAGTGGTAGAGGTTAACACAGTAAAGGAGTTTAAGCATGCGTGGGATAGGCATAAGGCTATCCTAACTATAAGATAAGGTATTTAGAAAATTGGGCAGACTAGATGGGCTGAATGGTTCTTATCTGCCGTCACATTCTATGTTTCTATGTTGCTATCTAGGCTAAAAACGAGTGCTATACAACATAGTAATTATAGTACAAACAATATAACGGCTAATAGTTTAGCTGAAGAGTGAGAGTAGAAATTAATACACTGCACAAAAAAAATAAAGGGAACACAAAAATAACATATCCTAGTTCTGAATGAATTAAATATTCTTCTGAAATACTTTGTTCTTTACATAGTTGAATGTGTTGACAACAAAATCACACAAAAATAAAAAAATGGAAATCAAATTTTTCAACCCATGGAGGTCTGGATTTGGAGTCACACTCAAAATTAAAGTGGAAAAACACACTACAGACTGATCCAACTTTGATGTAATGTCCTTAAAACAAATCAAAATGAGGCTCAGTAGTGTGTGTGGATTCCACGTGCCTGTATGACCTCCCTACAACACCTGTGCATGCTCCTGATGAGGTGGCGGATGGTCTCCTGAGGGATCTCCTCCCAGACCTGGACTAAAGCATCTGCCAACTCCTGGACAGTCTGTGGTGCAACATGACGTTGGTGGATGGAGCGAGACATGATGTCTCAGATGTGCTCAACTGGATTCAGGTCTGGGGAACGGGCGGGCCAGTCCATAGCATCAATGCCTTCGTCTTGCAAGAAATTTTGACACACTCTAGCCACATGAGGTCTAGCACTGTCTTGCATTAGGAGGAACCCAGGGCCAACCGCACCAGCATATGGTCTCACAAGGGGTCTAAGGATCTCATCTCAGTACCTAATGGCAGTCAGGCTCCCGCTGTGCTGCCCCCCCAAAAAATGCCACCCCACACCATTACTGACCCACTGCCAAACTGGTCATGTTGGAGGCAGCAGAACGTTCTCCACAGCGTCTCCAGACTCTGTCACTTCTGTCACACGTTCTCAGTGTGAACCTGCTTTAATATGTGAAGAGCACAGGGCACCAGTGGCGAATTTGCCAATCTGGGTGTTCTCTGGCAAATGCCAAACGTCCTGCACCGTGTTGGGCTGTAAGCACAACCCCCACCTGTGGACGTCGGGCCCTCATACCACCCTCATGGAGTCCGTTTGAGCAGACACATGCACATTTGTTGCCTGCTGGAGGTCATTTTGCAGGGCTCTGGCAGTGCTCCTCCTGTTCCTCCATGCACAAAGGCGGAGGTAGCGGTCCTGCTGCTGGGTTGTTGCACTCCTACAGCCTCCTCCACGTCTCCTGATGTACTGGCCTGTCTCCTGGTAGCGCCTCCATGCTCTGGACACTACGCTGACAGACACAGCAAACCTTCTTGCCACAGCTCGCATTGATGTGCCATCCTGGATGAGCTGCACTACCTGAGCCACTTGTGTGGGTTGTAGACTCCGTCTCATGCTACCACTAGAGTGAAAGCACCGCCAGCATTCAAAAGTGACCAAAACATCAGCCAGAAAGCATAAAAACGGAGAAGTGGTCTGTGGTCACCACCTGCAGAACCACTCCTTTATTGGGGGTGTCTTGATAATTGCCTATAATTTCCACCTGTTGTCTATCCCATTTGCACAACAGCATGTGAAATGCATTGTCACTCAGTGTTGCTTCCTAAGTGGACAGTTTGATTTCACAGAAGTGTGATTGACTTGGAGTTACATTGTGTTTACGTGTTTCCTTTATTTTTTTGAGCAGTGTATATGTTTAAATAGCAATAGGTGAAAAGAGGAGCAAAATCTAATAGCATTGATCGACTTGCACGAGATTAGTGTTCATTCGCTGAACGATAGCTCATCAGAGTGACTGTTTCACCTGACACCCTTCCTCGGTCAAACACAGTCCTGCCATATAGGAGAATTCTTCGGGCCCACAAGAACAGAAGAAAACAGGTGGATCCAGTAATGTGGTAGAGTCTGGGTACCCCACCGCTCCTCCGACACCCTGTCAGATCCCCGCAAGGGGCACTGGGGTTCCCTCTTCCGTGTCGCCTTTGGATGGGGCTTGCGTCTTCCGCCATTTTGGAGACTTCTCTGCCATGTGGTCTGAGGTTTCCCGATGTAGGGGAAGGATTGGCACGCTGGGTGAGTTGGGACTGCTTGTGGTGGGTCATATTGGTGCATTCTTTGTGATAGAAATCTTCAAAGATGCAGTCTAACGTGACTGAGCTATCGGGGTGTTCTGAGCCGAGGCTGTGGGTACTGGCAGCATCCACCATGTTGGTGGAGTCACTGCTTGCCTTGTCTTTCCTTGCATCTCTCCCCTGTGTAGCTTTCCGAACCGGATTGCCTCCCTGGGGTGGACCGTGGTAACCCCCAGCAGTCCAAACGGGGGGGGTAACGGGGCTTAATTTTTTTGCATTTTGTCTTGTGTATTATATTCATAATGCATTATTAGGTATGGGATAACTTTTGCCCTACAGTTTCCCTTTAAAAAGCCAATAAGAAATATCCTAAACTAAAAGGTATACATGGGAAAAAATAAATAAAAATAGGAAAAAGAATCCCCACCACACACACACGCAAACACACAATACTTTGCAAAACCAAGTGCAAATGTTCAATCAGCTAGAAAGAGGAAGCAACCCTCTGCCAACTCCTGGATATAGTCTGCCAGCATCGGATAAAACATGGGCCTCTTCCAGGACCCTGAAGTAAACACTGGCTGAAGCTAAATTCAAGGCAAGTAAAAAAAAAAAAAAACAACACCTTTTTTTTTTTTAACTTTTTGGAGGTTTAGCAAAAAATGTAGGGGCACACCCACCTAATTAACAGTGCCCAATATGGCATTTTACCTTTAGGAGAGCTAGTGTCTGTCCTCTCCCTGGGGTCCTTTGGGGATCTACTCCTTGGAGTCTAGGGGGGCTCCTGCAATCTCCAAGTGGGAGTGCAAGGGAACAGTGTGAGGAACTAGAAGATCAGTGCTCCCTTGCCACCGCATCCTGCCTCTACCACCGGTATATTTCAGCAGGTAAGCAGCTGCCTACTCTGCCTGAGGGAATAAGTTCCTACTTTGGGCCTCCTGAACCCTTTGGGAACGGCCGTTATCGGCCTGCTCCTCTCGGTGGCGCCCCTCGATATTTGCGCCTACGGCAACCACACCATCTGCCTTCCTGTAGTTACGCCGCCGAACAATACGGAGACAGAGGGATTTAGGACCAAAATAGGGATTGTTCCTCCTAAATAGATACACTTGTTGTCCAACAGATTGTTTCACGTTGGGCAAGCATGGTCTATATGAAGCTGTAGAAGTATTTAATTAATTTAAAGGGACACGCTCTGCATGGGGATGCTGCATTTTCTTTACAGAGATGCATTGATTCAATGCATCTCTATGAAGGAGGTGCTGATTGGCCAAAACAGACAAAGTAGCGGGGCCTGTGCCAGCGGACCCGCACGGCGCTGGAAATTTAGGTGAATTTTATAAAATTTTAAGTGGGGTAAGGGTGGGGTGGGGGGGAGGACCGCCACCTAAATGGTGGTTTTTGCACTATAGGGTCAGGAATACATGGTTGTGTTCCTGACCCTATAGTGTACCTTTAATTTACATAAACTTTTCACAAATCTCAAGATTTGTCATTTAGTCTCTAGATTTGATTTGGTCCAACTGACCTTAAAGGATCACTATAGTGTCAGGAAAACAAATCGCTTTTCCTGACACTATAGTACCCTGAGGGTGCCTGCAACCCCTTCAGTTACTCACCTCCTTCAACCGCCGGGCTCCCTTACTTCTCCTCCCCCGCCGTCAGCTCCCCCATCAGCGACAGTGCCGCGCGCGCATTCAAAGTGTCCATAGGAAAGCATTTTTCAATGCTTTCCTATGGACGCTCTGCGTGGTGCCTCCAGCGTCGCAGATGCGCCTCTAGTGGCTGTCTGGAAGACAGCCACTAGAGGCTGGCCTAACCCCAAATGTAAACATAGCAGTTTCTCTGAAATTGCTATGTTTACAGCAGGCAGGGTTAACCCTAGAGGGAACCTGGCACGCAGACCACTTCATTGAGCTGAAGTGGTCTGGGTGACTATAGTGTCCCTTTAAAACTGTATCTTATACCTTAACTACTATTGCACTCAGTCTGTGGATTCTCATTCCCAGTCCTCATCTAAGCTCTGCCAACCAGGAAAAAAAAAAAAAAACATGCACAGTTAGCCAAGACCTATGCTCTGTGCCACTGCACTACTTGGTAAACAAGATAATTAGTAGAGAGAAGTTGTAAAGAAGAAAAAGGTGACAATATCCTTTTTATCTTTTACACATCTTCAAAGCTAGTGAGGAATGAGGAAGCAGGGGAATTTCTTGGGGACAACAAATGCGCCCTAGTGCGCTGAAACGTGCGTTGAATTAGACAGGGTTTTTTTATTAGGTAGAAGTCTTGTTTGCAGTACATTTACCCTTAGTTGGTCCGGGGCTGATTAGATATTAGCAGCCGATAACTATAGCCTGTTCACACAGTAGTTCATTCAATAGCAGATTGTGGAGAACTTCTGTAGTAGGGAGGCTTTCTATTTATTTATTTCTAGAGCCTTGCCTGATACACTATTCACTCCTTTTTAGGATTGAACTTAGGTGGCTGTACTATCGTGACTCTCTGACACTTACCTTCTTTGGATACATTTAGATAGTGTCAGCAGTTTATTTGCTACAATTTATTAAGTTATTTAGAGGCAATTTAGACCCTTTCAAAAAGGGGGGCTTTGTATCTGGTTGTTTAATTAGACTTAGAGACTGATTCCAGAGTTTCTGAGGTCTAATCATTAGACTGCTTTTCCTAAAGTATCACTTAGGATTACATTTTGGATCCAACGTATGCAACAAAGACTAGGATACTTTTCCATATTACAATGTTACTAATAATTCTCTATTCCTATGTCAAGCTATGGTTTCCTTAGTTAATCCACCCATTTGGAGGGTTCTACTATCTCTCTAATAATATAGGAGACTGTTTCAGGCTACCCAGTTTCTATTTCTTTCTAGTAGCAGAAAGAGATCTATTGAAGATATATACACATATATATATATATATATATATATATATATATATATATATATTTTAAATCATGAGGATTTTCGAGTCCTGTCCCACTGCCCGCCTTAGTTCACTGCAGTCCTGCTTTAGGGGACACTGGAGATCTAACCCCAACAATCATAGCAATCAGACAGGTCTGCCGCCTTTCTTGCAGGTAAGCCTTTTTGGGATCAGAGATAGTGACATAATCAGGTCACTGGCCTCCCTCACACAAGCGTCCCGATTCGGAGGACACTGGAGTTGAGAGGTGTGTATTAATGTACACAGATCTCCTTTACAGGCCAGGCATAACTTAATGCCAATATGTGTGTGTGGGGCTGGCTGAGTGAGTCATTAGACAATTTCTCTGCTAAAAGTCATAACCAAAAAACAATAATAATCCATAGGTTAATAATCATACCCTGTTATATATATTCAGAATGCGGACAGTATTTCCTAAATAAATAAAAAAGGTCCATACATGACAAGTGTTCCTTAAGCCGTTGGAGAGAATTAGGGAAGTCAACTACTCTAAGTATGCAGACTGGTCTATTAAGGTGTCTTTGGAACAATTGCAACAATTCCACAGATCTAAAAAAAAAAAAATCTGTGCCTGGTGTAAAGCAAGTAATATATTTACATTTTGGATCCAACGTATGCAACAAAGACTAGGATACTTTTCCATATTACAATGTTACTAATAATTCTCTATTCCTATGTCAAGCTATGGTTTCCTTAGTTAATCCACCCATTTGGAGGGTTCTACTATCTCTCTAATAATATAGGAGACTGTTTCAGGCTACCCAGTTTCTATTTCTTTCTAGTAGCAGAAAGAGATCTATTGAAGATATATACATATATATATATATATATATATATACACATACATACATATATATATATATATATATATATATATTTTAAATCATGAGGATTTCTTAGGATTAAGCATTGGGTTATCGCATGCAGTAACATCTGGGGGATCCATTCAGCATATGGTAACTGAATTTACTTTAACCTCCTTGCTTGCTTTTTAGCTGTGATTACCCTAATAATCCAACTTCTAATTTATCAACTCTATATCTCTCAAATAGGATAGAGATATGGTTTGAATTTTTCACTTCATAACTCAAGTTAAATATATTGTAATACTTCTTTATTCACTATCCAGAACACTACAGATTAGTGACTGGTTACTAACTATTAAAGTTATACCCCCATTTAGTGACCATATTATTATCATTCTGACGGTGTAGGTTTAATTTATCTCTATTAACCTATAGCCATTTATGTCTATAATAGCGAGGGTAAATTGAGGCTGCATCAAGCTTTTTCCTTTTTAATTTCACTAGCACGTTTGTGTGTTGCACCATTATTTATTTATCTAATAAAGATTTTTTGAACCAATTTTTTATTTTATAGTGTGCCCCCTGGGTCGCCCTCACTGCTGTGGGTATTCCCTGGGTGGAACATTAGAGGAACGGCAGTTTGCCCTTTACTCTTCTGGTCCACCAGGGTTTTTCTTTTCTGTATATTCAAATTAGGGTTTATGACCTTCATTACCCATATTGTCCTTTTACGTTGCGGACTTTGGAGTCAAGATGTCTTTGACCCTTAAGTCTGCATCGTTTTGCTTTATCTATATTCAAAATCAGTATATGAATACAATCACTCACATACATATATACACACAGACACATTGATTGTGTGTATTATATATATATATATAGATATATATATATATATAAATAAAAATACACACACACACACACACACACACACACAGATAATAAATGACTAAAGTTGGGCCAACACAAATCACACGTTTTCAAACAGGCAGAATTACAATTTAGATACAGAGATATTCTGGTAGACTCCCATGGTTTTTTTAAGATGATAGCTCTTTGGTGATATCCCTGTTATGATTAAGTCATTCTATTAACTTTATGCCACAAGTTGTCAGGAATATTGTTCATATATAGCACCACAGAAAAAGCAATATAACATAGTGACAACATAGTGAAAATAGTGTACCCAAAAGGAGAATGTATGGAGACATTCCATAAGCTTATCATGCATAATGTAAATTCAATAGGCAACCTTCACTACTTGAGATGTTGTGGACTACATGCAGAGGTGGCTCTAGACTTTATGAGGCTTTAGGCGAAACTCAAACATGAGGCTGCACTAACAAAAAAGTGAAAAAAAAAATTTGTTGCAATACACGTACACTGTCACATATATACACTGATGCACAGTTTACCTGTGTATGTGCCTGAGAGTGTGTCTGACAGAGATTATCCTTGTGTGTTTGTGTGTGAGAATGTATGTCTCTGTGAGCATGTTTGCGTTTTTGTCTGGGACCCTATGTGTCTGGGGTAGCTGCTTGAAGTGTGTTGTGTGTATGGGTGGGGGTGATGGTGAGAGGGGGTGATGGTGAGAGGGAGAGGGGGTGATGGTGAGAGGGAGAAGGGGTGATGGTGAGAGGAAGAGGCGGGTAATGGTGAGAGGGGCTGATGGTGACAGAGGGTGATGGTGAGTTGATGTTGAGGGAGGGGGTTGATGGTGAGAGGGGTTGATGTGAGGGTGAGTGATGTGAGGGGCAGCTGTGAGGGAGGGGGCTGGATGTGAGGGGTGGGATGGGTGTGGGAGGGGGGTTGATGGTGAGGGAGGGGGCTGATGCTGAGGGAGGGGGGTGATCGGGAGGAGGGGGGGCTTGATGGTGGGGAGAGATTATGGTCTTGGGGTTGTTATGGTGGGGGGTGATGCTGAGGAAGGGGGTAATGTGAAGGGGTAATGCTGAGGGTGGTGATAGTGAGGGGTGATGGTGAGGAGATAGAGAGGGAGGGGTGATAGTGAGGGGGGTTGATGCTGAAGGAGGGGGGTAATGCTGAGAGAGGTGGTGATGGTAAGGAAGGGTTGATAGTGAGGGGGTTGATGCCGAGGAGGGTAATGCTGAGGGTGGTGAGGGGGGGTGATAGTGAAGGGGGTGATGCTGGGGGTGATGTTGAAGGAGGGGGTAATGCTGAGGGAGGTGAGGAGGGGTGATGCTGAGGGGGGTGCTGAGGGAGGGGGGTAATGATGAGGGTGGTGATAGTTGGGGGTTGATGCTGAGGGAGGGGGGTAATGTGGAGAGGGGGGGAAGACAACATACCTTTTCTTCCCTGGTGGTCCAGTGGGCTCCTTGATGGTCCAGTGTGGGCTGCCTGGTGGTCATTACTTCCGGTCTGCAGCTCCGCAGAGCTGCAGACAATGTAATCTCACAAGACCATCAGAGCGTTGCCGTGGTAACCCGCGGCAACGCTCTGATTGGCCAGTTTTCGCAAGACACATGGTCTGCAGCTCTGCTCACTGCAGAGCTGCAAACCAGTGTCTGATGGCTGGCCGGGCAGCCAGGAGGGGCCTTGCACCTGGCGGCATACTGGGCAAGCCACCAGGCCCCCTCCTGGTGTCGGGTCCTCAGTCACTGACCGAGGACCCGACACAGTCTGCCCACAGGCGGTTTAGGTGACCGTGAGGCCCCAGCCAGCGTGAGGCCTTAGGCGGCCGCCTAATTAGAGGGCCGCCTCTGACTACATGTCACTTGATGCTTTGCCAGCATTAGGGGCTGTAGGAGCATTATGGGAGATGTAGTCCACAATGTATGGGAGGCCAAAGGTTGCCTAACCGTGCCATAATATATCTTTCTGCTGGCTACCAAGTAACTTGCGACAAATTTTAAAAGCCACTCTGTAGCAGCAACACTTTAGCACTTTACTACTTTAACACTTTAGTAATAAACGTAGTATGGTTATAATGTTCTGGAAAAACCCTATTGTTAACTAAGAAATACACTTAAAAACTTTCCAAGATATAAACTCTGATAGACCAACCTATGGGGCTGTGGCATTCATTAATGTTCCTTTAGAAGTTGAAAACTTTGACCTCTATCTGACATGGATAAGATCATCTTGCAAAACCACCTTGAATTCAGGTCAAAGAAACTCACGCACATATTGCACTTATGAATAAAATTGATTCAAGAAAAGGGCGGGGATGGACAAAGTGGCAGACATCGTGCTTTGCACCAGCTTCTGTTGACCTCTCTACATTATGTTCCTAATGCCAGTGGGTCATGGGGTTAGGAAAAGTTTGAAACTGGATGTCAGTCTTGTGACCCTTTTTTAGAAAACATGGGACACAGCTTTGGCAGCCCAGCCAGCATGACTCAGCTTATGCACTTGCTAACTGTAGCATGAGCCAAGAACACAAAAGAATTGGTCTTGTGCTTTATTTGATTTCCCACCCCATATTAAATCCCCTTCTATTTATTTTACAAGAGACAATAAAACAAATCTGATTACACATTCTCCTAACTTGAGCTGAATTTCCTTGAAAAAAAATGCTTCTATAGATCTTACCTTCAGATTTCACACTTCCTTGGCCATAACAATTAACGCCAGCAATGGGCGATTGTGACACTCTCAGGTAGTCACTGCAGCCCATTGGTGCTCAGGCTATGATTCATCAGCCTATAGTGCCCTTTTCTTCTCTTTCAGATTTACAGACTTTTTTTGGCATTTCAGTTCTCACTCATTTAGTAATACAACAAAAAAAAAAGCATTGCTCTCTGCATCAAAACCCGGTCCCTCAAGCAACAACTCAAATTGTTCCCAATTGTATTGTCCTCTCTGGCAGTGTACGTACACAGCGAAACTGCTGGGAGAGCCTGCAATCTGTAAAGAGAAGACGGGGACAGCCCAATGAGATGCAATGCAAGTACTGTACGACATGTTTTGTTTTGCCTCCATTGATGCCTAAGGTATGTGGACCAGAGGCCTGGCTGCACTCATATGGTCTTTATATTAACCTAATTCAGGGTGATGAGAGCCTGTGTTATTCCACTTCCATGCAAAGCTCTCGTTAATCCCGGACTTTCCTTGCCCCAGCCAGAAATGTTGCTAACTGAAGAGAGTGGGAGTCTCAACTTTACGCTCCCTTCAATTTAGGACAGATCAAGCAGTGCAAGTAACGAGTGCCCCACAGCCGAAACAGGCCCAGACTGTCCATTGGCCAATGCCTGGTGGGCCATTTTGGCCATGGGCCACGGCCAACAGGGGAGATCATACGATCTCCCCTGCGCTCCTACTCAGGACAGCACCAGCCAAAGAGGACGCTCTGATTTCCCTAATCGCCCTTTAATGCATACCACTCAACCATACCAATTTCGGCAGGACACTTCTGATTTTCGAGTCCTGTCCCACTGCCCGCCTTAGTTCACTGCAGTCCTGCTTTAGGGGACACTGGAGATCTAACCCCAACAATCATAGCAATCAGACAGGTCTGCCGCCTTTCTTGCAGGTAAGCCTTTTTGGGATCAGAGATAGTGACATAATCAGGTCACTGGCCTCCCTCACACAAGCGTCCCGATTCGGAGGACACTGGAGTTGAGAGGTGTGTATTAATGTACACAGATCTCCTTTACAGGCCAGGCATAACTTAATGCCAATATGTGTGTGTGGGGCTGGCTGAGTGAGTCATTAGACAATTTCTCTGCTAAAAGTCATAACCAAAAAACAATAATAATCCATAGGTTAATAATCATACCCTGTTATATATATTCAGAATGCGGACAGTATTTCCTAAATAAATAAAAAAGGTCCATACATGACAAGTGTTCCTTAAGCCGTTGGAGAGAATTAGGGAAGTCAACTACTCTAAGTATGCAGACTGGTCTATTAAGGTGTCTTTGGAACAATTGCAACAATTCCACAGATCTAAAAAAAAAAAAATCTGTGCCTGGTGTAAAGCAAGTAATATATTTTTTTCTTTTTTTATATAAACGGGTGTTTACATTGCCCATAGGGGAGGTGGGAGGTGTCATCAACATAGAATAAACAGTCACGTCTGCCCTATACCCTGTATATCCTTTGGGGCCAGCTTGGAAGATTGAGATTAGCACAAAGGCTATAAAATTTGACACACAAATTACAAATTGCTTACTGGGAGTAAAAATCTAATTTTTAGCAAATTGCCATTTTCTATGCTGGAACACTGTAGAAACATAAGATACAATTACTATACTAGCAAAATGAGTAAACAGGATTTTCTGTTAATCTTCTCCTTTTTATTTTAACTGTTTTGTTTGTGTAACTAATTTGTTTAACATCTATTTCATATATATATGTACAGTGACTATTTTTCCTCATAATGAATTTTCCTTTATTAGTCAAAGAGAACCATAGGAACCTTATGTACCCCCATTTTGAACACTGCAAGTGAATACATTGTGGTTCTGCACAATGGCAGAGTTTTTTCATTGCAATCACCATGATCTCAGCCAAAGAGGCGGGATGGAGCGATAACTCACCTCGTTTCCAGCTCCTGGGCTCCTTTTCTACAGCCGCTAGCTCCAACAACAATTATGTCATGACTTCTGCGATCTTGTCCAATCCAATGCTTCTCATACAGAAACACTGGATGGGAAATAGTCATGTGCGGTCAAACACTATGCTCCTTCAATCAATATGATATCAGCAACATTTGATTCCAACACCGAGTTTCACTAGGTTCTGAAGCAGGAAGACATCTAGTAGATTTGTATTTAAATGTGCAATGTAAACATTGCAATTTTCACAGAACTTTACATCGCACTGCTAAAATGACAGAAACACTGCTCCCACACCACTTTATTGACATGAAGTGGTCTGGGTGACTTTAGTGGTCCTTTAATGTACTCGAGACACACTATATTCAACTCCAGTATTTCAGATTGCCTGAACTGATGAACGATAAGGGATGCCATATACTTAGTGCTACTTTTGAGTAAAGAAAAAATGAAAACAATACATGTGTGCAAAGCTACATGAATTTAATTTATCCCTGAACTACATTGTATATTCAGAATTGATGTCTTGTCGTATGTTGTTCTAGCGGTGTATCCATAAAAAATAAATAAATAAATAAATTATTGGTAAAGGGAGTCAAATGACAAATGCACAAAGGACAAATGGAGCCACAGAAACAATTTATAGTGTAATAGCTCTTTCCAAAACAATGAAAAAATACTGAGGAAACCCACGGCAGCAAACAGCAGTAGAGGGGCAACTCACTGACAGCAAGTTTGATCATAAAGTTTGACACGTTTTCATCATACTGGGAGCTTACTCAGAGCAGTGAGTTGGATATTACATAATAGATATTTAGTTTTAAGTGAACATCTTGACTTTGCTGTTTCAGTGTATCCACCTGAGCTTTGGGCATGGATTTATAACTCTTATGGAGTTTCGCGTTGGCAGCGAACTGCCATGAGGTATGGTGCAATTCATTTATTCCAGACATTCATGCTATAGATTCAACTGACATGCCTCTCAATAATCCTGATTTCACCGGATGGTCCAGATTTTTAGACCTGTCCTGCTGTAATTCCTTGGTGTACTTTTGTCCTCTGGCACCATTTTTTTCCATCCATTCACCATTAAACCGGTTTTAATGATTCAATGTTATATGAGAATTCCTAGCATACACTATACGCAAGGTTCCACTTAATTCAACCGTCTATCTAGCCAGAAGGTGCTCTGAATTAACAGGGGGATGATGGCCTTCCCCCTAAATAAACATACACCTATCAGCATCCTGGGAGTGTTGCCTGGTGCTTTTTCAGATTTCATTTCAGCGATCACAGTGCCTATTCAGGTATGAATTGGTACAGCTAGAAGGAAGTTTGTCATCTCTGCCTTAACCACACCTCCAGTGGGGTGGAGCTATATAAACCAGGGACCGTCATTCATTGTTAAACTGCTTAAAATGGGTTAACACTGAAAGGAGAGCCAGTGCCAGGGGACTCCAGGCACTATAACCTAAACAACTAGATGAAATGGTTATAGTGCCTACAGTGTCCTGTTAAATGCTCTGTGGAGTTGAGTTGGTGACAGTACGGTTTCAAATAATAATATTGAAATAAATAAATACATTTGTAAAAAATTTGACAGGAAACCCATAATATACCATTGGTCCCCAAGGTGTGTTTTGCTTTTCAAACTAAACTTTCAGAAATTCTAAATTCCCTAGAATGTGTGCTTTAATATTTCAGCTCTAGTGGTTTGCTTTTGTCTCTATTTACGTTTTGAACATTTTCTTGAAAATGTTCCTGAATTTGAATTAGTCTTTTAGTTCTTTTCTTCACTGCTATGATATGAAGTTCCACAACAGGAGTAAAATAAATTTGTAGGACAGAACTTTCATAAACATCAGGTAAAGGAGGCTAACGTGAGAGAGGCAAAGCAAGAACCGTATTTGAAAGAAAAGAGAAAAAACTAAAACTATTTCTGATTCCATTTCCAACATTAAATGTGTGTTTGTATACCAACAATGACAGGAGCCAAAAGCAATATACTTGTGACTACTGCTCTGGTCCAAGTGCTTTCAATAGGAAAGCACTGAAAGGAGTATGTATGTATACTAGGCTTAGAATCACACGTGTATTATGTTGCGCATGCATATTAAAAGTGCTGGTGGTACATTTGGAAGAGTACCATTCACCTGAAAAAAGTTCAGCAGCCAAGTGCTTTTTTTTCTGGTATTTTGTATAGTTACGTTTTCTTTTGCATTATTTAGAATGTATTTACATAATGCAATAAAAAAAGGAAGTGTCACATCTTTGAAAATTAGTTTCTTAATCTTTTAGTTAATATTACCGAAGCGTTTACACTGATGAGATAAACAGCAAAGACACGTACAAAAATACTTCCACAGCATGTCCTGGTCAGGAATCTGTCTTCATTTCACAATGCTCCCTGCATGCACATGTGCACTCTGGAATCCACTTGGAAAGTGCTGTCCAGTCACTTATACAATACAGGGAGCACCTTAAAGGGACACTATAGTCACCTGAACAACTTTAGCTTTATGCCTCCTGTATGTGATTAAAGTTCAATTTAGAGGTTGAGATACAATTATTTAAGGTAAATTACATCTGTTTGAAAGTGAAACCAGTTTTTTTTTCATGCAGGCTCTGTTAATCATAGCCAGGGGAGGTGTGGCTAGGGCTGTATAAACAGAAACAAAGTGATTTAAAGGACCACTATAGTGCCAGAAAAACAAACATACTGTGATTTTCAAAGTGAGAAGCACGCAAGCGCCTCTAGCGGCTGTCAAGAGACAGCCACTGGAGGCTGGTTTAACCCATTTATAAACATAGCAGCTGCTATGTTTATAAAAAAAAAAAAAAAAAGGGTTAACCCTAGCTGGACCTGGCACCCAGACCACTTCATTAAGCTGAAGTGGTCTGGGTGCCTATAGTGGTCCTTTAACTCCTAAATGACAGTGAATTGAGCAGTGAAATTGCAGGGGAATGATCTATACACTAAAACTGCTTTATTTAGCTAAAGTAATTTAGGTGACTATAGTGTTCCTTTAATGTGGGTGCTAATAAATAAACATGGAGACCTAGGGTCTTTGCAGGCCCTGCCCATGATTGGTGGGTGTGAGCAAATGAAACATATAGAAGGGGGAGTACAGTCAGTATGTCTGGATTAAAATTTGGCCTTTTGTGGGCTGAGGAAAAGAAGTTGTAAGAAGGAAAAAAAAGGTCTGTGTGATTTTTTATTTCCTTCTTGGTTTTTTTCCCAGGAGTTATTGGGCACCTCCCTCACTACTATTAGGGTGAGGAGAGGAAACAGATTTTTTTTCTTCTTTTTTTAATTGGGTTAATCTTTTAACAGCCCCCACACACTAAACAAGGATGGAGGTTGGTTAGACACTAGACCCCTTGTTTATTTAATTATTATCCACCACATGCTGGCCATGAGTGGGGGGTGGAGGTGAACAGTGACCTGTCCACTCCCTATTTAAAGTTTAAACCCCCACGCGATGCCCATGGGTAAGGACACTGGGGGTAACGTTTGCCTAGTTCCCCCATTTATTTTATTAGTGATTTATCAGCAACAGCTGCCTAGTCGCTATGTTGTAAATTATAGTGAAAAGTTAGTGCTACCACCAATAGTTGAAATTTTTTTTAGCAACAACTTTAGCCATTTATTAGGGGTTAAGTGGAATTAAATCACCTTATCCAATATATTCAAATGTAAATTATAGTTACCAGTTTCGAAATTCAAACTGATAATTATCAGCTACCAATAAGACTTTAAATCGATCCAAACTAATACACAGCTTATCAGGAGCTCATATTGACCTTTGGCTCTAATTAGAGTGAAGACTAAATTAGAGTGGAAAAAAATATCTAAAATAGTTGATTTGGAAAAATTATTCAACTTTTTGCCTCAGCATTCAGATTTAAGTTGGCTCGGTCACAAAATGTTTCATTTATTTAGCGATCATACTTTGACAAGTGTCCCCCAACTTACCCCCTTTCTCACATACCTCTTTCAATCTGAAAACTCAATTTGTGTCAGTGCCTGATGCTCCTCCCTCAACACTGGCATCTTTCTCAGTTCTACGCTGATGCTGGCAGCTCCACTCCAGTTACAACATGCTTGCTGCTATCAGCTTTCTCAGAAAAGGCAGAGGATAAAGCAGTCCACTAGGCCATACTACCACACATCCTCCCTCTTGTCACCATTTAATTTTAAAAGAGCAATTTTATTGGGGAAGGAGGAGAGGGGAGAAAAACACTTCTGCACCTGCAAGAGGAAACTCAATAGTCTGTTGCCAGTGTGTGGACAACTGACATATTCTATGCACAGAATTGACACTAGGCAGCCTGGAACTCACAAGTGCTGGTGGTGCAACTAGCTCCCTGCACAAAAGTGCAGATAACTCAGTATGTGCAGTAAAATTCCAAAATAGGTCTTAAAAGAATGCTCCAAAGCCTTAATGCACTTCAGCTGAAATACTTTAGGGGTTAATAGAGTATCATCTCTGTTTTATTTGGGGGCGTGGCTGACAGAGACTGACTAGACGTGCTTATGTGGAAGGAAATATGGAAGGATGACCTCCAGGAAATACGGCAGGACATGGGGTTTAGGCAGAAGCGGCTAAAAGAAGTAGAGGAGAAAGACACAGCCCGGGAAGCACAGCTGCACTCCACAGAGTCCCGAATGGACAGACTCACGCTGCAGGTCTAGAGATTGCACCACACAGTGGCCTCCCTGGAGTCCAGACACAGGCGAAATATACGCCTGAGGGGGATCCCTGAAGAAGTGGGGGAAGGCAAGAACAATCAAACAGCGAGATCTGAGTTCCTAAGTTTGGGGAGATTGAGGGAACCAGGCACATACTCACCCACGTTCTAAAGAGGGCAAAGCACCCACAACAGAAAAGTAATATTAAGTTTCTAATGTTTATTTAGCAGCGGTACTGTGTTGGGGGGGAGTTGAAGATACATTAAAAACTTTTTTTTTTTTTTAAAAGCATATTGATTCAGTATTCCCCCTGGTGGTCCGGTGGTGGTAAGTATGTAGGACAGGAGCCTGCAGCTCTTCTGTCCTCCCGCGCAATGCTGTGTGGAGCGTTGCCATGATAACCTGCGGCAACGCTCCACACAGTTCGAGGGAGGACAGGAGAGCAGCTTCCTCGATCCCTCCCCCCTGATTCCGGTCCTGCCGACAAGAAAGCAGAGTAGGCGCCTGCCGTTTCCTACTCTGCATTGATGGTGAACCTATGGCTGCATGCCCACAGAGAGGGCACGGCGTGCCACCTGCCCTACAGAGACGTTGACTTGTTGGAATTCGTTTAAAAAAAACAAAACCTACCTGAATGAAAACCTTGGAGTGACGGTATTTTTGTAGAGAGATGCTCTTTTTTCAGCTTGACTATTTTGGCCTATAATGTGCAATTCCTATGTCAACTATCTTCTCAGGTCCTAATTTAACAGTATGTGAATTTTGTAGTGCTGGTGCTCTGAGTTACATACGGCACATTACTTCGCATTTTATTGCTGTGGAGTCCTGTGATACACCCCAAACACTACTATGTATTTTATTACTAAAGATCTCTATGACGCATTCATACATACCGTACATTACTGAGAGTTTTATTGCTGTTGAGATTGATGATAAACTGATAAACTCAAGTTGTTCCCAAGTTGCTTACTTAGGTAAGAAAGATGAATGGATTGACTGGGTTCTCAAAGAGGAAACATAGGTGTGACAGAGCCACCTGTCTGTCTATTGTGGTGGATTCGTCTATTTCTGTCCCCTATCGTGTAAATGGCTGTTTCCATAGCCTAGCCATACGAATGACTGTTTTCACCGAACAAACTGACCGAATGGATGGCCACCCAGAAGAAGAAGTGTGCTGCTGGTTAACCTCTTGATCCCAATTAGAACGTTGTGGTTAACCGCAGACAGTTCTCAATTAAACGAATTCAGGGTTGTCGTTGTTCGTATGTCGACCACGAGGCAGCGGCCATTTTAAAACGCACGAAAGCCCAGCGGTGTTTGGCACTGATTCCATGGAAACTAAAAACGGACACTTTTTCTGCCGAACACCGCTGAAACAACAGGTCGCCTGGCTGCCTCGATGAAAGCGTACGAACACCGGCCGTTCGGGAGTTTTGAAACACACGAAAGGACTTAACCCAGATAGCCTTCCCATGGAGTCAATCGCATACCGAAAGACTGTAAGAACTTTGACTCCATGGCGATTTAACTATGTGTGTGGGATCTGAGCGCTATTCGCCAATAATATGCACTCAGATCCAGGCTATCTGGGGATATGTGATGCGAATGTGAAATGTTCGGTTATTATAAAGTTATGTATTTTCTGGTATTGTATTTAAGATGGCGATTTGTCTTTGTCCTGGAGATAATTGAATTACTTCTCAATTATCTCCAGGGCAGAGGGGAGGAAACCATATTGCATTGTGGGAAAAGCCTGTGATTGTATGTCTGAACTGTCCCCATGTCCATCTGTAATTTCAGTCTCCCATTTGGTCCCCTAGAGGAGTGTCCACCAAGTGGGAGACCTGCATAAATACGGGCAGGTAGCCCACAGTAAAGCCAGATCCTGTTTGACCCTCAATGCGGAGCTTCTGTCTCGTTATTGGGGGGATTTATTATTTGCGTCTAGAGACTGATTATTGGAACCGAAAGCCGCTTGGTGGATATCTTTGTTCGGCGGTTAGTGGATTTATGTTCGGGAGTTTGGAGCCTTTCACGGATCCCGGTCGGGATAGTACCGCTTCCCCTGGTTATGGTTCGTGGATTACAGTTTATCCGAATGAATTACTGATATTGCGAAAGGGGAAGGTGAACTAAACGGCGGTTTCTCTTAAAGACACCAGGGGTGTCTTAACAATAGGTTAATATTGTAACCTCTACGCACTTGTACTTATCTAATAAGAAATATATCCTACAGAGAAAATGTATATCTCCTTTGATGCTCCAAATCAAATGAGAACATATGTAAAGAAAAATGTGATATTCCAATCTTTATATTGTTGGTTTTTAATACTCATTTTTAAACAATATTATACTATGTTTCTTCATTTTATATCTTTCTTTACATATGTTCTCATTTGATTTGGAGCAAAGGAGATATACATTTTCTCTGTAAGTTATTATTCGGATATTGGTTTTTCACCATTTCACTTGCAATTTTGCACATACGTTACACTGAGTGTGGTTATATTGTGTACACACTCCTTGTTTTTGCACTAGTTAATGCACTACTTGCACTTTTAATATTTAAAGGTACAGCGCACCTATTTCATTTGTATTTTCTGGATGGTGTTTTATGAGCTTGTACACTTTTAGGTGCTGCTCTACCTTTATTACCTTTGAATTTATATTAATATTATGCACTTTTAGCGCCTTTTATTGCTTGTTTGTCTTTTAGTAAGAAATATATCCTGCATTAAACTTTTATGATTCCTAACATTTTTTTCTCAATGGATTACAAAAATAACAATTTTGAAATGCAGTCATTCTGCATGACTAAGTGCATTATAGCACCTGTAATACTACGTAGCGACCAAAAGAGCTCCTCTCACTACAATAGTTTCTGAAAGCAAATAACCAGCAAAATAGTGGTCAGAATGATCATACCAACAGCTGTGACTACATCATAATTATAAACATACCAACAACCACCTAATGCTACATACTCAATGCTACCATATCTCCCAGGTTTGAAGGAACCCATAAATTAACATCAAGCTCAATTGGCTCTCAATTTCTCCAGAGGGATGTCTCCACTATCAGATATTTGCAATTAGCAATCAAAAACCGTTGTAAAATGCAAAGAAAATATTCAAAATCAGGGGTTGGCAACCATTGGCACACGTGCCACTCATAGCACTCAAAGCCTTTGTATGGCACTCAGGAATGCCAGAGACAAACAGGCATTGGCTTATCAGGAGTCCCAATAGGACTTGCTAGTGCAAATCAACAGTGATTGCAGTTGATGAGCAACAATACTTAATTTATGCATTGCAGCACGTAGAGGAAGTGATCTCAGATCACTTCCTTCCAGCACTTGTGGACAGGAATCCACACTGGAGTATAGCAACCCAGAGCAGCTCCTGCCCTTGACCAGTACTTGGTCAGCCAAGTCCCCGATGGACACCAGGAAAGCCACCTACACTCCTAGACATACACAGAGTTCCAGGAGAAGCCTCCCTGTCATACAAATAATATAAACTGTCCTCACACAAACACAACACCACTGGCAATCTACACAAAATTTCTAGTTGCCATGGCGATCTGGAGCCCAGGATTTGTCGAGCCCTGCCACAAGCAGTACCACACATACACAAACCAAACACACTATTTGACATATCATATACACACACATAATTCCACAAGCAGCCTCCCTACACAGCCAACATTCATAGGTATCATTCACAATACTACAACTACTCATGAACATATACAATATAACAGTCCACATATGGACAAATACAACTCTACAAAGCAACTGCAGCACCCATAAAAAACACAAACAGAATACGGCAACATACACACCTTAATTTGATAAAAAAACAACAACATAGGACTGGAACGCCAAGGGACTTCCAAGATTTTGCTTTGTGGCACAGTACTACTAAAAGGTAGGCCATTTTCGATATTTTGATAATACTTCATAGTTTAGTAAAAGAAACAGACAGAAACAGCAGAGGTTTGTTAATATATCGAGCAAACATTTGTCTTTGTTACCTGTACCAGTGTTAATTTTGGCAGCAAATTTCAATTTAGTTTTAGTCATTGTCTTTTGACTAAAACAAGCAATTTTAGTCCTAGTCGTATTTTAGTCATCTGAATTTTTTAGTTGATTAAATCTCCAGAACATTTTAGTCAACTAAATCTCCAGTAGACTTTAGTCGACAAGACTATAAAATCTAATGGGTTTAGCTAAAGCCTTTATCGGTCTCTTTTGCCCCTTCCCGAGCCCCTCTGCGCAGTGTTAATTTTGGCAGCAAATTTGAATTTAGTTTTAGTCATAATCTTGCATCTAAAATGCCATTTTAGTTTTAGTCGGATTTATTATCTGGATGTTATAGTTTTAGTCTAGTTTTAGTCGACTAAAATTTAAATAAAATTGTTAGTCGACAAAACGAACACTGACCTGTACATCTGCTTTTTGTGTTGTCGTGTTTATTTTTATTAATCAAGATGCAGTAGCTGTTAAGTTACTGTAAGTTCCATTAAATAAATTGTGATCTACAGTTTGTCGTTTGGACTCACATATCAAACAGAGTACCAGTTTATTAAATTGAGATACTGCCAATTAAGGACAATATTGCATGGAAATTCCCATGAGTTAACGTACTCTGTAACTGAAGAAAGGGAATTTTTTTATTTTTTTATTTTTTTTTTTTAATACCACCAACTGTGCCTTCCGTTTAAAATTTTACATGAGGTTTTCATCAATATATTCCTGTGGAACTTTCAATATGCTCTCAGGGTCACCTTAAACATAAAGTATGTCTGAGTCTCAACATATTACTAACATACTGCTACTATGTCATAAGATTAGTACAGGATTGAACATGTAGAATACTGTAAAGGAAACATGGATATTACCTGCGTCATAGATGCGCATCCATCAGGCTGTATTGCGACATTTCAACATGCAAGCAAATTTTTCATATGGTGCTTGATCTTATGCAAGACCATTTTTCTGATTATAGACTGGTACATTTTATTTAATACTTAATTATCCTACTCTCTTACTCCATAAGTGCAAAAATGTGCTTGACCGGGTTTCAGAAATTCAATGTTTGTGCCTGCAACTGCTGATTTTTTTTTGGCAATGGCTGCTATATGTCCTTAATAACGCATGGTCAAAAGAAAACAACTAAGGGTTTATGCAGAACAGGCCAAAAAAAAAAAAAAAAAAGTTAAGAAAACCAATACAATAAAGACTACTTAAAAAAATAACATATAAACATTACTTTATGCTTCAATGATCAATCATCCTGAGCAACTGCTAATAGTGACAGCAATAGGAAGACTTTGTTCATTTCACACATTTTTGGTACATTAAACACTATACCCTTTCCACACAGTCTAAGGCTGTAACAGCCAGTGTTTAAGCAGGAGAGAAGACAGAAAGAGGGGGAGAAAAGAGGACTAGGGATAGCTGTAGGACAGGAAAAAGTATCATGTCCAGAGAATGGAATTAGAATGCTACGCAATACACAAGGGAAAATTAAGGGAGGGCTCCAAATAATGTCCAGCAAACACAGAAGACAAGGATACTAAAAGAAGTGACAAAAGAAAATGAATCTTTAGGACGTGGCAATCACATTACAGGAACATTAAGCTGAACACTAGATTCTCTTTTTGGAAGAACCAGACATTGGTCAGAATCATATCAACTAATGATGGAACATCACCTTTGAGACAAACAAGAGGAAGACAATGGCAATGAAAAGGCAGACCCGAAGCAGTTTGAAGACAACTAGGAAAAAGGAGATGCTACCAAAGAACCGGCAAAGCAATTAGGGAACTTCTGAGAGTGACTACAGGAGGCAGTTGCAACAGAAAAGAGCCACTGCTGTTGGCCCACCTATGATATACAACAGATTTAGAGAAAGGTTTATTGAATTTATACTTAAAATATATACACAAATGACCATTATAGTTGGTCTAAACAACAAGTCCAGATCACTTATAGCATGGCGTGAATGAACAGCAAATAATTAGAGGCCTCACGGCACATAGGAAGGCAAGGAAAATGCATAGGTCACCTGCATTCAAACAAACACATTCTGTAATATTCAGGAATTAGACTGATAGGGAGCATAACATGAAAAATGCCAATTTAATATAGTTACCTAAAACATTAGTAATTAGATAATGGCTTGTGAAATGCACATTGGATGGGAGAGCTGGAATCACAATGTATTTTTAAAAATTGTATGTTTAAAAATAATATCAGGAAGTATTACTTTACTGAGAGGGTAGTGGATGCATGGAATAGCCTTCCAGCTGAAGTGGTGGAGGTTGACACGGTAAAGGAGTTTAAGCATGCGTGGGATAGGCATAAGGCTATCCTAACTATAAGACAAGACTAGGGACTAATGAAAGTATTTAGAAAATTGGGCAGACTAGATGGGCCAAATGGTTCTTATCTGCCGTCACATTCTATGTTTCTATGTATTTATTGAAAATGGTAAAGTGAGCATATTATTCATACCCCAAGTCTTATTTCCATCACAGGAAAATTGCAAAACTGAGACATTATCTAGTGATACAGCTTGGTCAACAACATATTACCTTTATTCTGTAAGCTTGTGAGTAGGAGTTTCAAAAATGTTTTATCAGTTGGATCCTATTTCTCCTATAACTAACTTTTTTCCCCCTTTCCTAAATGCAAGGAAGGCTACAGAAGTTGTTTTACGTAATAACATTTTCAAAAGGTCCATACATTCAACTGAACACAACAAAATTATATATCAATTGAAGCAGGAGTCCACCACACCAGGCCAGACCCAAGGTGCAGACTGTGCAAAGAGGCCTTCGAGACAATCCAGCACATAGTAGGCAGATGCAAGATGTTAGCAGAAACAGCATTCACTGTAGAGGCACAACCAAGTTGCTGGAATGGTGTACCGAAATATCTGAACAGAATATGAGCTGCATCTCCAGATGGGAGATATCATAAAGGGTAGATACTGCACAAATGCCCCAGACTCCCAGGCCTCTGGTAGAGGACCCAAGAATTAGGAATAAATATACCACCAAGGAGGAATGAGAAAATCAAAATAAATAAATAAATAAATATATATATATATATATACACACACACACACACACACACAGTATCTCACAAACGTGAGTACACCCCTCACATTTTTGTAAATATTTTATTATATCTTTTCACGTGACACTCTGCTACAATGTAAAGTAGGAAGTGTACAGCCTATATAACAGTGTACATTTTCTGTATGAGACATTAATGGATGTGTGATGAGTTATTTTAAAGGGGACAGCAAATTTACAATGTTACACAGGCTGTACACTTACTACTTTACATTGTAGCAGAGTGTCATTTCTTCTGTGTTGTCACATGAAAAGATATAAAATATTTACAAAAATGTGAGGGGTGTACTCACTTTTGTGAGACAGTGTTCATACACTGCTCAAAAAAATAAAGGGAACACTTAAACAACACTCCAAGTCAATCACACTTCTGTGAAATCAAACTGTCCACTTAGGAAGCAACACTGAGTGACAATCAATTTCACATGCTCTTGTGCAAATGGGATAGACAACAGGTGGAAATTATAGGCAATTAGTAAGACACCCCCAATAAAGGAGTGGTTCTGCAGGCGGTGACCACACACCACTTCTCAGTTCCTATGTTTCCTGGCTGATGTTTTGGTCACTTTTGAATGCTGGCGGTGCTTTCACTCTAGTGGTAGCTACAACCCACAAAAGTGGCTCAGGTAGTGCAGCTCATCCAGGATGGCACATCAATACGAGCTGTGGCAAGAAGGTTTGTTGTGTCTGTCAGCGTAGTGTCCAGAGCATGGAGGTGCTACCAGAAGACAGGCCAGTACGTCAGGAGACGTGGAGGAGGCCGTAGGATGGCAACAACCCAGCAGCAGGACCGCTACCTCTGCCTTTGTGCAAGGAGGAACAGGAGGAGCCTGCCAGAGCCCTGCAAAATGACCTCCAGCAGGCCACAAATGTGCATGTGTCTGCTCAAACGGTCAGAAACAGATTCCATGAGGGTGGTATGAGGGCCCGACGTCCACAGGTGGGGGGTTGTGCTTACAGCCCAACACCGTGCAGGACGTTTGGCATTTGCCAGAGAACACCAAGATTGGCAAATTCGCCACTGGCGCCCTGTGCTCTTCACAGATGAAAGCAGGTTCACACTGAGCACATTGAGCAGAGTCTGGAGACGCTGTGGAGAACGTTCTGCTGCCTGCAACATCCTCCAGCATGACCGGTTTGGCAGTGGGTCAGTAATGGTGTGGGTTGGCATTTCTTTGGTGGGCCGCACAGCCCTCCATGTGCTCGCCAGAGGTAGCCTGACTACCATTAGGTACCGAGATGAGATCCTCAGATCCTGGTGAGGTTGGCCCTGGGCTCCTCCTAATGCAAGACAATGCTAGACCTCATGTGGCTGGAGTGTGTCAGCAGTTCCTGCAAGACGAAGGCATTGATGTTATGGACTGGCCTGCCTGTTCCCTGAATCCAATTGAGCACATCATGTCTCGCTCCATCCACAGACTGTCCAGGATTTGGCAGATGCTTTAGTCCAGGTCTGGGAGGAGATCACTCAGGAGACCATACGCCATCTCATCAGGAGCATGCACAGGCGTTGTAGGGAGGTCATAAAGGCACGTGGAGGCCATACACACTACTGAGCCTCATTTTGACTTGTTTTAATGACATTACATCAAAGTTGGTTCAGCCTGTAGTGTGTTTTTCCACTTTAATTTTGAGTGTGACTCCAAATCCAGACCTCCATGGGTTGAAAAATTTGATTTCCATTTTTTAATTTTTGTGTGATTTTGTTGTCAGCACATTCAACTATGTAAAGAACAAAGTATTTCAGAAGAATATTTAATTAATTTACATCTAGGATGTGTTATTTTTGTGTTCCCAGTATATATATATATATATAGATAGATAGATAGATAGATAGATAGATAGATAGAGAGAGAGAGAGAGAGAGAGAGAGAGAGAGATATTTATTTATAAAATATGAAACAGAAAAGAAAAATAAACCATTTAGAAAAAAGGAACACTGTTGCATTAGGAATACAAATCTGTATTTCAAACGCTATAGCTCTGATGCCCCTCATCAGTTAGGTCCCCACAGTGTAAAATAAAACACAGGGAAAAAAACTTAAACAAAATAAAATGAATCACTATGCATCTCTATCATCTATCCCCCCACAAAAAAAACAAAGAAACACAGGACAAACATTCCTTCTGATGTCATGTTCCACTTATCAAAGCTTTCTATGGTCTATTTAAAGGGATATTATAGGCATCAAAACAACTTTAGCTTATTGAAGCAGTTCTGGTGTATAAACTGGTTTTACCGATATAATCTGCATTTTCGTCAATATCGGTATCGGCCAAGAAGACTTACTGCCATTCCCCGGGATTGATGTCAAACCATCTGAATGATTTCACACAAACAAAATGGAGCTTCTCATTGGCATCTACAGCTCTGTTCCACCAATGCAGCTCAGCTAATCACATCAGCCCAACCACCTTTGGGTTGAAATTATAGTCTGCTAGTCAAAATACTCAAAAACTGCACATGGCCCACAGACTCTTTGCACTATAAACTATAGTTGTTACCGTGCTTTGATAACCCCTTAAAAATATTTAGTCACAGCCAGTTACCCTTTGACTATCAAGAACTCAATTAAAATGAATACAAGAGGCCTTATCTAAACCAGCACTAGTAATTTCGCACAATTAACAATTTAAATTGGGTCATTAATGCTTAACACGAGTAACTAAGGTTGTATGTTTACAAAAATCAGATCTCTTAATATCTTCACTAATATACGCTGGGCACTCCCCATATAGGAGGATCCCCAGAAGTACCCCCAGTGGGACGGTCTCCCACATGCCCATGCACAGTACCCCTTGGTATGAGTGCCCCTATACGTCCAGGCAAAGTAAGTGTTTATTGCTGAATGGAGGGACAGTGCCAGGGGACTTCAGGCACTACCACCAAAGCAATGAGATTAAATAGTTATAGTGCCTAAAGTCACATCTGGAGGGCCGGAGTTTGGCCGGAGTTTGGGGAAGCCTGGCCTAAAGTGTCCATTTAAGGACAGAGGCAATTGTCCAACTTCTGATGCAGAGAAAAATAACTAAAATTTGTGCAATGTGTTTGTTCCACTGTAATTTAAGAGTTTAAGTGCACCCAAACATATCATATATTGGGTTTTTTTTTTCCAAGGGACAGAAATTGATTTTTTAATATTCTATATGTTTACCTAACACAACATCAAGTATAAATAAAAGTGGAGTAATGGTAATAAATGCACATTTTTTCAAAGTTTTGTTTAGAATACATTTTACACATCCAGTGCAACTAATGAAAAAGAAGTATCCACATCAGTCCAGATTGTTAAAGGACCACTATAGTGCCAGGAAAACATACTCGTTTTCCTGGCACTATAGTGCCCTGAGGGTGCCCCCACCCTCAGGGTCCCCCTCCCGCCGGGCTCTAGGGGGAGGAAAGGGTTAAACTTACCTCTTTCTCCAGCGCCGGGCTGAGGACTCTCCGCCTTCTCTCCTCCTCCACGGCTGAATGCGCATGCGCGGCAAGAGCGGCGTGTGCTTTCAGCCAGTCTCATAGGAAAGCATTCACAATGCTTTCCTATGGACGCTGGCGTCTTCTCACTGTGAAAATCACAGTGAGAAGCACACAAGCGCCTCTAGCGGCTGTCAATGAGACAGCCACTAGAGGCTGGATTAACCCTAATATAAACATAGCAGTTACTCGAAAACTGCTATGTTTATAGAAAAAAGGGTTAAACCAAGCTGGACCAGGCACTCAGACCACTTCATTAAGCTGAAGTGGTCTGGGTGCCTATAGTGGTCCTTTAATGGAACACAAACATATATTACTAACACTATAGTTACCTGTTCAATGTTTAAGTACCCCATCCCACACCAAGTGCATGAAAAAGGTGAGCCTTACTCACCTTTTCTCCATAAACGCACTAGTTCCACTGCAGCTAGCCCTGCCTCCAAGGCTGAGATTATCAATCAAGTCAATGCTTTCCCATAGTATTGGATTCAAATAGGAAAGCATTTGGGAGGTTATTGTGCATGGGCGACAAAACGCAGCGCCACGCCAATCAACTCCTCATAGCATGCATTGGATCAATGCATCTATATGGGGAATGGTCAGCGCACTAAATTGAAATAGGAAGCACCTCTAGTGGCAGTCTGAGTGACTAAACCTGACCTAGTGAGGTGTTACTAGGCAACAATGGAAACAATGTATTTTCTTAAAAAAAAAAAAAGGCAGTGTTTACATTAAAAAAAAAAAAAGTCTACAGGGACACGCTAAGGATGGCAGAATCACCTCACTAGGCTGCGGTGATTATGGTGACAGTGTCCCTTTAAAAACACCTCACATGTTTAGGATCTAAATTAATTTTCGGGTGTTAACGCCATCCCTACACCAACCAAACACCAAACCCTACACTTAAGGTAACCCTTATCTCTAACCTTAACCCTACGCCGTCCCTAACATAGCATTAATCCTTATTCAACACCAATCCAAACCCTATAGGACATCATATCGAACCCTATAGAACATCCTAATGTCTTCAAGGAATTCAAGACATCTTGATATTTCATGCCGACAGCTGGCTTAACATCATGGGAAATGTAGAGCACAAACATCTGTAGTAACAAGGTTGGCCATTAGTCTAGACAGCTCCAGTCCCGTAGGTTATGCCACCTCTACTGGGCTACTTTAACCTGCCTTCAATAGATAAATACTTTATTGTAGTAAAATAATGTAATACATGTGTATATAATAATATATGTAGATAGTGACTGAAACGTCGATCTTATTTTTAATGGATCAATAAACTTTATGTTTTAAAAGTCCGAGAGTGCTGATCACTATCTACATATATTTCAATTTTCCTGAACTTCAAGCACCCGGCAAACAGTCTACCAAGCGTGAGTGCAAGGACTTTCTATATATTTTGTGTATATAATAATATATACAGCGCTGTACAACAGATGCACTAACAAAAAAGTATTTGCAACAAGTCATGTTGGATGTCATTTTCAGTAGTGATGTTTTTCTTATTAACGTGATAATTTGGCATGGTTTGGTAACGAATTTCAACATGGTTATTATCTAAACAATTCATTACTGGGAATCACAGACTAACAAGGAAAAACTTAGCTATTCTTCCCGCTTAGTTATATTGGCCTAAAATTTGCAAACCCCTGGTAAATTGCCAATAATATTTATTAAGTATACCGGAATACCTATGTATACGCACAACAATATATTTTTGGGGTGGAGAAACGAGCATTACCTTATTTAAAATCTTCAACACACAGTATTTCATAAATCTAAAGTTGTAGAAGCTGAAATCTCACATATCTCTGGTATGAGTGTACATGTGTATAGAAATGTTCACACACTCATTCAAAACACACCTACTTTTTGTTTTCAGGAGAGAATGGGGAAGCACACAGTTAATGCTGTTACAGAATATATCAAAAAGTGCAGGCATTATATAAAAACACTGCACACCTTGTACAGCTAAAAAGGTAAAACAACCTGCAAACAAGGGCCAAAACAATGCAATAACCGTGCAGTGTCACCGTGAATGGGAGAGGACATTGAAAAACCTTGGAATGAGAAGGAAGAAGACATAAATAAACATCATGGGACTTACCTTAATGCAACACTGTATAGAAGACATTGCCAGAAACAAGAACGTACTGCTATGTGGGGTGGCCTAGGGGGGGCACAAAGTGGGTGAGCACAGCAGCCCCCCCTGACTCCCAGAAGTTAGCACATTGTATTCCAGGGTGCTAGTATAGGGGTCCACATTAGTAGTAGTGGGAGCCCCCTCAATAATATCTGTTGCTTGGCTAATGAATGTCTAGCAGATTGTGTGCCAGTTGTCTTGTCCTTTCTGGTGTTCTGCAGTTGAATGTTGTTTTGCCTTTTTTCTGTTTTCCTTCCTGGAAGAGAGAAACTAAAAAGGCAGAAGTGAGTCTCCCCCCTTCCTCCCTCCGGCTCATTGATCTGAAAGTGTGCAAGTCCTGAAACTGACGTGTATTCCCAGCACTCAGCACTGCCTCTTAAAGACACAGTGCATCAGGAAGCAAGCAAGACAGGGAAATTGTAGGGGAGGGGGGACAAAAGGTGTTCAGACTATAGAAAGGAGAAGAGTTTGAGGTGATGGATAAAGAGACAATATGGATGCATAAAATAGAAGGCAGATTGAATAATTATACGTGCAAGGAAATACAAAGAAAGTTGTGGGCATTTGTTAAGGGGTGGGGGGTATTAAAAGACAGCATTGAGAGATGAAGGGAGGCAAAATAAAAAGGGAGGGGGTCGGAGGCAAGCAAAACAAAAACTATTTAAGAGGAAGAATGGGAGGTCAGGAGTTGATGGGTATTGGGGGAAGGTGGAAGAGGATTAGGAAGTGCAGAGAAATGGAAGGAGGGGGTTAAATATACTGCTACAAAGGGATAATAAATTAGAGGAAGTAGACAGGGCAAAAAGGAATTACAGGAAATGATAAGAGACAGGTGGATAGAAAAAAAAATATATGAATGATTCGTTATAGAGATGATTACTTCATTGTATCTACAGTAAACAATAAAGAACTTGCATTATCTGGCAACTATTATCTTCTACCCCTGTTCGCATTATCTGGCAACTATTATCTTCTACCCCTGTTCGCTTGGTTTTTAACCCGCTCACTGCCAGATGGAATTAAGACCGAGCTAGATACAGATTGATTATTTATTAGGACTTATTATTATTATTATTATTATTATAGGAAGGTGCATGATGTGTGTAGAAAGTGGCGCTGTGCCTTTAAGAGCCTGTACCCGGAAATGTCAGCTAATGTTAGCAAGACAGGGCTGGGAAATGAGGAAGAAGAGAAAGGAGGGGGTGGGATTGGAGAGAAGGGGGAGGGGAGGTCCGAGGTAGGGAATGTAAAGAGGAGGGAGAGAGAGGGGGAAGGATGGTATGTCTGGAAGAAAGACACAGAGAGGAAGGGGTAGGAAGATAGACAGGAAAGGGGAGAAAATGGGGGGCAGACATAGAGCTGAGTGGAAAGGAAACAAAGACACATGGGAGACCCAGCACAGCAGATGGGACTGGATTGAGACATAGGAGGAATAAAGTAACCTATAGGGGATTATTAACTAAGCCAATTAATGTGAGGATGAGAGGAAGTGAATGAGAACCGGGAAGTGAGCAGGACATGGGATATATAACAGTTAATATGAGCAGCAGGGATACACTGAATGTAAATCTGCACTAAAAAAAAAAAAATAGTAATCATGGAGGAATAGAGAGTCTGACCACAATGCATTGCTTTAAACACAGACTGTGTGAGACAGATGAAAGAAGTGCTATAGGATCTGGAGAGGGTCAATTAGAGAGATAGAATGCAGTGAAATGCCAGTGTGGGATTGGAAGAGGAAGGGCTGGAATGGAAGAGAGTGGAGTTTGATGACCCATGTGCTAGAGTGTTATTCTAAACAAGATTTTATCATAGGCAGAAGTGTTGCAGACAGAGCCTGGGTTGAGAAAGAGCAGTCATTCTAAAGAAAATGTATATACACACCAACCCAAAATACAGTGGGATGTGAGTGGATTGACGCTAGTACAAGTGCCGCTCCCCTAGTGTCTACAACCACTAACAAGACACCATATAATATAAAGCATAATAAAACACAAAAATAGGAGGCGAAACAATAATCACCAACACACAGTGAATATGTTGAATTATGCTTAATCACGGTTAATGAGAGGGGAAGAGAGTGCCATAAAATCTAGTTGGCAAGATAAACCAATAGTTATTCACTAAGGTATGAATTGTTGGAAATTTAATATGAATTTAAAATTTTGAGCCAAATTTAAGTCATAGCCAACTTTGAGATTTTATCCACTGCTGCAATTTTGGTCTAGAATTTGACATTCACATTGAATTCCCTACAATGTACACTTTAGTAAATATCCATACATGTATATAAGCGAAGGCGAGACAGGCAGAGTTATTTACTAATATGAGAATTGTTCTGAATTAAAAAATAATTTCAAATTTTTTTCCAAAAATAGCTAGATGAGTGAAATACATACATTTCACCCATTCCTGTTCTAAAACATTGATTCATGTGTGTTTGTGTATTACAAATACATAATTACAGCTACAGCTCTCTTCAGGACAGCTGAATGAGAGAGTCTCTGCAGTGTTTTACTGGTCAATGTCTACTTTTTTCATTTTAGTATTCTGAACTATACTGACGGACTGCTGTAGTGATGCGGAATGTGAACTAAAGGGACCATGGTGCGATGAAAAGAGTTACAGATGGAATATGTAAATCACTTGTAGAGTTATTCACTTATTTTGGTATCATTGGAAATTATACCAAATAAAATCTGTATTGCAAAACGGAAGTTAAAATAGCTGGTGCAGAAATATCCTCTAACTCTACTTGACTATTTTAATAAAGCATCAGTTTTGCTATTTTAATGTAATTCCCTAAACTTCAGTATTTAGCGAATAACCGTGATATTCTAGAATTTTGTTTTTGAGTAACCATTACATTTAATGGATAGAAAAGGGAATGGGAAATGTGTTTTAAAAGTAAAGCAGTACAGATAAAATAGATGAATAGGAGAGACTGTAAGGATATATCTATCTATCTCTCTCTCTCTCTCTCTCTCTCTCTCTCTATATATATATATATATATATATATATATATATATATATACTGTAGAAGGAGATGGCTCAAGTCCTAGGCTTAAGATAAGGAGAGATAGATGCAATCACAGATTAAAGAATGAGAAATTTGGTTCAGGAAATGAGGTGCCCTCAATGGCACATGTTATATAATATATATAGTAGCAGTGCCATATCTCTTGTTGTTCTGCTAACACACTATTTTGTATCCAAGTTCTGGCTTATTCCTCCAGCCCGGATGCCACTGGAGGCACAGGACCACATGTATTACTTTGGTGTAGATTCAAGAGTAGACTAACTTGGCAATAGATGCTCTTTTGTTATTACTACTTAGTTGAGGTTCCCCTTGCTTTGGTATCTAGATAACTAGCTTGCAATATTGTTGCTCTTCAGCCTGCTACTGTTTCACTACAGCAGCGTTTCCCTATTGGTGTTCCGCGGAACTCTAGGGTTCAGCGAGAACAAAATTGGGGTTCCGCAGCATTTTGCCACATCCAAGATGGCCACCGCTACCTGCTGTTCCCAGAAGGTTGGAAACAGCAGAGATCTGTGATTTCATAAGAGATCGCGGGAGCACGATCTTAAGCCCACCCTGCCGTCAGCCTGCTTTGCCGAGCGCTTGCCACTTGGACTTAGCTCGTCCGTGAGAGAGCCCGCTCAGCCAGCAGCCAGACCGCCCAGCAGTCAGCCAGCCAGCCCTGCAGTCAGTCATTTTCTATCACTCGTGGTAGAGGAGTGATAGAGAGTGGAGCTGATAGTTAAAGCTCTGTTATTGTCATAGATAGCAAGTTCTATTAGGTAGGGACATAGAAAGCTCTGTTAGGTAGGACAATAGAAATCTCTGTTAGCTATGGACATTGAAATTCTCTGTTAGGGACATTGAAAGGCTCTGTCAGGGGCATTGAAAGGCTCTGTCAAGGGCATTGAAATACTCTTTTAGTGGCATTGAATGACTCTGTGAGGGGCAAAAAACTGTTAACTGTATTTTTCAAAGTGTTCAAATCTTTTCCCTCCAAGTCTAACTCAAAAATCCTGATTAAGTTCAGTTCTTTCTAAGAGTGTTATCAAACTCAGTATCCTTTTTAGTCAGGTTTTGAGATCTGTCTTTTTTCAAAGTGTTCAAATCTTTTTGCTCCAAGTATAACTCAAAAAACCTGTTTAAAGGACCACTATAGAAGACAAGTGTGGTGGGGGAAGGCTGGCTGCCAGAGATGGGGATACATAGGAAGGCTTAAGGGGACTAGAAATTAGGTGAGACTGGCCGCAATCAAACACAGCTCCACAAAAAAAAAAAAAAATTTGCACTGGAGCTCTGTGTTGATCATAATTATATCACCAACATTTATATTTTTTTATTTTTTAAATGAGTGTCTTAAAAAAGCTGTTCTTGGGGGGCAGTGCTTAACGATTGAAGAGAACGGTCGCATGCTGTCTGAGCTCTGGGCCGCAACACGGGGAAGAACCCACTTCTAACCCCCTTACAAGTGCCACACTCGCCCCAGGGTGAGCCCAGCGCACAGCTGAGCCCAATGGGGCGAAAAACCAAAAAACTCAAACCCGAAAGACCCACGAGGGGCATGGATATCGGCGAGTTATGGCGGCAAGCCCGAGGCACCACAGGCTCCAATATGGCGTCCCTACACGGCGGGTGCTCTGATTTCTATGAAGAGACGTCGGATGAGGGTGAAGGGGAGCTTCGGCCATCACCAGCTCGAATGCAACCCCCAACGCAACCCCTGCCGACTGCTATGGCCCCCACGCCGGTGAGCATGGAAGCCATTAGAGATCTTATGGCGGAACATCACAAAAAGATTGCGGCGGATGTCGCCTCGATTAGAGACACATTACAGGGTCTTACCGGACGGATCGGGACCGTGGAAAACACCATGACCACCCAAACCGGCCACATACAAACGCTGCAACAGGAGGTTCAGGAGTTAAAACAGTTAGCTGGGCAGAACGACCTCCGATTTGCCGCACTTGAAGACAAACGCCGCATAAAGCACCTTAAGGTTAGGGGCATCACCGACAATATTCCTGATGCTGAACTACCCCACGTTACTAGGCGGCTCCTTACAGCTCTACTAACCCAGAGAGTTGCCAAAGCGGTGTCAATAGATGGAATTTTTCGCATTCCAAAGCCCACCGGGGCCCCAGCTACAGCTACGAGAGATGTCGTCCTGCAGTTCCAAACCTACAAGGATAGAGCCGCAGTATTAGCAGCCACCAGAGATCAACCAGCCTACCACTTTGAAGATATGGCTCTCACCTTCTACCCTGATCTCTCGGTGGCAACATTGGCCTGGAGGAGGTCCCTGCAACAACTGACTTCCCTCCTGCGAGCACAACACATCAGGTACCACTGGGGCCCGGCTCATACTCTACTGGTCACCAAGGGCGACACCACACTCACAGTGCGCAGCATGCAGGAGGCACCGGCGACACTAAGACAGCTGAATCTCCCACCGGACTTACCGGCCCTACCGACACCAAAGGGTAGGCACGCGAACCCACCGACTTGGAACATGGCCGGCGCTGCAGAATTCATCCCTAGAAGACACACCGGTGTACCTAAAGAAGCAGCCACCACCTGACAATATTGAAATATCAGGACTATAACTTACCTTGCCGGGACTCTACCCTAACATAATGGTCTCACCTTGGACTGCTGCTCCCGGGTGAGCTAACACCCTGCTTTGCGGATGGCCTCACTCCTTAACCCACCGACACATGCACATCACCCGATAACACTAAGACCCACTATGGGTGGTCTCACTGGGAAGATGCCGAGCTCCCCTTTGCATTCCTGACGCCACACAGGCACCCCAACCTAACCTACCCGCCCAGTAACCAGGAGCTGACATTTAGCCTCTACCTGGCTCCCCTCTTGCGAGCGCTGACCTCCGCGCACATGACCATGAAGGCCCCTCTTAACTTGCCAACTAGCAGACATTACGCGCACCCCCAAGCAATGTAATCACACGGTAGATACGCCTCAACACATAGAAATAATCTATAACAGTCCCGCCCAGAAGAACACACCACCCTACCTGCACTAATACAACCCAGCCTCCGATAACCCAGCATAAACACACAGTGCATACATCTCTCACCACTACGGCTGTGTTATGTATAAAAGACAATATGCATTAATCCTAGAATG